GTACCGCCCCGGTGGGAAGGTAAACGGCGTTTCCGTGCACTGCTCTGGTTTGCCAGAAGCGGCTTAGTCATGCTGGCCACATGACTCGGAAGCTGTACGCTGGCTCCCTCGGCCAGTAAAGCAAGATGAGCGCCGCAACCCCAGAGTCGGTCACAACTGGACCTAATGATCGGGGTCCCTTTACCTTTACCTCTGAATAAAACTATTTTCGGTTCATACCGCAGGATGAAGGAAGCACACAGATAATGGCGAATGGCCCAAGGTCAACTGGTGAACTTCATGGCTGAGTGGGGATTCGAACCCTGGTCTCCCGGTCCAACACTCTAACCATTATGCAACACTGGCTACACCATTATCAGTATAGTGTCACTGCTGTCTTGGGGGCAGCACTTGCCATATTTTGTGTTGTTCTACAATCCACTTGTCATGGCAGGGATACAGTGGCTGATCTTGGAAGGTGTTCCTTTTCACATACGGACCACAACCTTTTATACCTTGAATGTTGGAGTAGATTCTTCATCAGTAAAAGCACATCTTAAGGTTGGAATCTTCACAAAGCCAAAACTTTGTGAAAAAGCTTTGATTTTTCTGGTCTATGACATAGGGAGGATCTACACACACGGGGGAAACCCTCTATAAATAAGTCAGAAATTAAATTGTTATAACAAAATTAAATAAAAAACCCTATGGGAAAGTGTACATAATTTTTTCTGCTCTCTGGCGCCACCTGGTGTTGCATGTTTATAGCGCATGCAAATAGTTGTTTCTTTACTAATGTAGCTGAGTCCATGGTTGTAAATGAAACTTCTTAGTTCTCTTCATAGACCCTTCGTTCGTTTTCTTACCCTGTAGCTCTTCCGTCATTCAGTAATGATACCTTGTCTGTGACTGGATATACCAAAATCCTTTCTGGCAGACTTTATCTGCCTCAAGTCTAAAACAAGGATCAGGAACTGGCGGCCTCTTAGTCAGGTGCTCAACTGGTCCTATCAAAGTAAAAGGAGGATGTGGAAGGGAAAACCCTGGAGTAATGAGATGGCTACTGTAGGTCCAACCAGGCAATGGAGGTGTGGAGCACAGACTTCCTATTCCCTTGTCACCATGGCCTGCCATCAAAACTAATTGATGAACAGTGCCCTAGAATTTTCGAGTAAGCCTAGTATGTTCCACATTATGTGCAGCTTACAAGGACCCCTTTTTAATTATAGCTTGAAGTTGTTGTTCTTTTTTGCAACCTAGCAAATATACATCCATAAAAATAAATCACAATTTTCCAGGGCAATTTCCCATGATAAAAAGCTTAATCAGGGCATAGTTAACAGCCCTGTGGCTGCATTCTCAACGCAACAATAAATTCTACAGCACAGCATTTATTGGTTTATTTCCTCCAGATAAGGTATTGCACAATGTGCTATTTTATCATCAAAGAGAACCAGACTTATCCCAAGGGCAACGTGCTAGAAAACACTATTAAATGATAAATACACATTCTATCCTATTATGATCCATTTTCAAAGACTGGTCTACTTGCTTGCTTTTTCAAGTTCTTCAGCTTATGCAATGAAAACAGATGAGTGCCACTACTGTTATTATTGAATGTTAAGAGAGCCTACTTTTAAATGCCATGTTTACTTTTAGGGTGGAATCCAATCTATGAACAGACAGGACTTCCTTCTCCATCCTTTCTTACAAAATCTGCTCTAGAAAATGCCCCAACTTGCCAGTTTTGGGGACATGTAGGGAGTGGCACTGTGGGTAAAACCTCAGTGCCTAGGACTTGCCGATCGCATGGTCGGCGGTTCGAATCCCCGCGGTGGGGTGAGCTCCCGTCTTTCGGTCCCAGCTCCTGCCCACCTAGCAGTTCGAAAGCACCCCCAAGTGCAAGTAAAATAGGGACCGCTTTATAGTGGGAAGGTAAACGGCGTTTCCGTGTGCTGCGCTGGTGCTGGCTCGCCAGAGCAGCTTCGTCACGCTGGCCACATGACCCGGAAGTGTCTCCGGACAGCGCTGGCCCCCGGCCTCTTAAGTGAGATGGGCACACACCCTAGAGTCGGACACGACTGGCCCGTACGGGCAGGGGTACCTTTACCTTTACGGGAGTGGCAGGGGGAGGAAAAGGGGGGAGTCCCATTGCATGAGCAGAAGTCTGTTCCACTCATGCACAGACCCCTCCAATTCAAACCCTCCACTTTAAATGAATACATTTGTACAACTCAAGTGCTTCAAATTTCTTCTTTACAACAGGTATGTTTTTATAACACAGCATAGCCCTTTTTCACTGTGTAGAACTGATTTGGTTTCACTTTGATTGCCAGTTTGACCAGGATTGGTGTAGCACGTTTAAACTTCCTTGTTCTGGTGAGCAACCTGGCACAGAATTCTGCACCAGCTGGAATTTCCAGTCTTCAGAGGCAGCCCTATGTACAACACATTGCAGTAATCTAACCTAGAGGTTACCAGAGCATGAACGACAGAAGTTAGGCTATACCTGTCCAGACAGGGGTGTAGAAGACCACCAACTGAAGCTGATGAAAGGCACTCCATGTCACTGAGGCCACCTGAACTTCAAATGACAGCAAAGGATGCAGCAGTACCCACAAGCTGCATACCTGCTCCTTCAGAGTAAGTGTAACCCCATGAAGAGGCAACCTCCTATCCATTCAGTCTAGGGAACCACGGTGCCTCAGCTTTATACGGACTAAGCTTGAGTTGGTTGGCTCTCATCCAATCCATGATTGAGGCAAGGCAATGGTCCGGCACATCCACTGCCTCACCTGCAGATGTAAAGGAGAAGTAGAACTTTGTGTCATCAACATATTGCTGACAACGTACTCCAAACCTCTAGATAACCTCACCCAGTGGTTTTATGTAGGTGTTAAAACAGCACAGGTGATAAAATCGAACCCTGAGGAACCCACATTGAAGGCTTCACATGGCCGAAAGGCATCACCTTCTGGAAATGTCCATCCAAGGAGGAGCAGAGCCACCTCTGAGTGGTGCCACTGCCTGAAACTTGCAGTCGCTCCAGAAGGGTCCCATAGTCGATAGTATTCAAAGCCACTGAGAAGTCAAGGAGAATTAATAGGGATACATTTCCCTTTGTCATGAAAATGGTTCTAAATTAACAACCAAGAGAGCAGAACATGGTTAAAAAAATGCAGTGACATTTTTTTCAATCTGAGCAAATACTTCTGTCTGCTTGGTTTGAATGTGTGGATGGGTTAAAAAAACTGACCCTGAGCACTTCTCCTTGAACGGAGATTGCAGATGTGTGAATATAAGTTGTGTCAATTTACTCAAGAGTTCAAAAGTGCACTGGCAATTTATGTTTAAAGTAAACAACCTGTATTTGCAGTCATAAAATTGGACCTTACAACTCTAGCAATAGAATTCAAAATACTGCTAGAATCCAGAGGTAAGCAGACCTACTGTATCCCAAGGGACTTTGGACTTATACTTCTAAAACGTCTTCCACAAAAGTATGGCAAAGCACTTTTGAAAACAGCAGCAGGACTTCATAAGCTATTTGTAACAGCGCCAGCTAAGGGGAGGAAATCTACCACACCCAGATAGTTCTTTAGATCCTAGCCACTAGGGTTGGATGCTCAGATAGGTTAGTGGAACCTCTATGCAATGGAGCTCTTTTGTCCTACAGCCCCTTCCTTGAACCTCCAAAAAGCTTGTCCTCTGGAATGATATGTGATGAGACACAGGGACGCTGCAGCAGGTCACTTCTGAAAGACATCTGTGGACCCAAGCCATTGTCTCAAAGTTTAGGCTGTGACCCCCCAAAAGGTTAATAAAAAATGCATTTAATTTTACTGTATAAAATATTTTGAGATTCTGCCTCGTAGCTATGAACCGTAGCCCTGTGCTTTGTCCTATAAACTAGCCATTTGTTTTATTTTAAAAAGCCTGTCTGGTGTACTGAATAGAAACACTGTATATAGACTACAGAGACTTGAGTTCAAATCTTGATTCAACAATGAAGATCAATGGGTGGCCTTCAATAAAACATCCTTCTTGTCTAACTTACTTCATAGGGATGCTGTGTGGATAAAATGATAGCAAAAACAAGCATATTGTTCTGAAGTTCCTGGGACAAACCTACGATAAATAATATAAATCGGCATTTTAAAGGGATGTGCTTGATTGTACATAAATAAATGTAACACAAACTGGGAGAAGAAAAACATTTAGAAACTTTAGTTTTATGTTTGTAAGTACATATTTATGATAAGCGTCATACAGCAGTTGCATTCAACTCCCAAAGTACATACGCAGGAGAAGCAGCACACAGTACCTGAACATCTGTAGGAGTCCCCAAAAGCAAAAAAATCAGTTTAGTGTGACAAAACACCCAAGGGGTGTGCAGTACAGTGGTGCCCCGCAAGACGAATGCCTCGCAAGACGAAAAACCCGCTAGACGAAAGGGTTTTCCGTTTTCCGATGCGATTTTTTTCGCTTCCCCCCCTTTTTCTAAGCCGCTAAGAGCCTTTTAGCCGCTAAGCCTTTAATAGCCGCTAAGCCGCTAATGGCGCTAATCCGCTAATAGGGTTGCTTCGCAAGACGAAAAAACAGCTAGACGAAGAGACTCGCGGAACGGATTATTTTCGTCTTGCGAGGCACCACTGTATTCTTAGCAGTTAAGTGAAGGGTTCAACAAAGAAAAGACAAACATACTTGAGTACAGCCCTATTTTCATTTGCATAACATAATTCAAACAATGCACTTTCAAGTTCAGTGCTCCAAATTGCTTTCTTGAAATCCTTTCCCGGATCAAGAAGAGGAGAGAGGCAGCCAGTTCCCCAATGTGACTTCTCGCTCATCTTCTACCCCTTGCAATGCAACAACTACTAGTTGTTGAAACAACGTGATGCCAAAACAGATAGCAACAACTGAAGCTGAACTTCCGACTTTGCTTCCCTTGCTTAATTTTTTTGTAAGGCTTCAGCTTACAGCAAAGTCAATGTCTCTTCTTGAAAGGCAACCCAAATACATGTATTTCAAAGTAAACATTTATTTTACATTTGTGTAGGCCACGCACAGATGTAGGACAATTTCTTCACATTTTGAGCCTTCCCCCAATGCACGCACACCATGTCTTATGTACAGCAGTAGGTTTAGAACGATTCCTGAACTTAAGGTGCATAGGCAGATGAAGCCTTACGCTGGAAAGAGAACAGCTTATAAATTTGCTCATAAAACGACATGGCAAAAATGCCTTTTATGTTATCAAAGTCTTTTCACAACATAAACAAGTTTAAAATAATGTGTAAACTTGACTTCAGAACCAATAAAATAACCCTGCCACCCTAAATCAAATTATTTCCAGTATATATCTTTCAAAAAGATCCCCCATTTTTAAAATAAAATTCATATATATATATATGTATATATATACACACATTTATAACTTAAGTGTTGTTTGCTGTAATTTTTCATGCAGGAGTAAGAGATGTGACCTTCTTAGAGAGGTCTTTCTGAAAATGCAGTAAAGCTCTTCACTCGTGCAAAGAACAAAGGGGTGTACATCTTGTCGATGTCAAAAGAAGAGACTGCTGTTTCACCAGTAGACCTATAAAAGATATTACAGAAACACATTGGACCGGTGCTGCAATATTGCAGAAAATGGTACTGAAGACAAAATTCAGCTCCCCAAAAATCTTAAGATTTCATTTTATTTTATTAGTTTCTGTAACTTATGGCTGCAGCTTATGGTTGCAAAAATGGATCTGAAAGCCATGTGGGCCAACACCTTGTAAATGCCGGGGGGGGGGGAATGGAATAAGAATTCCAGTAATCTCATGATTATGAGTAATGCCACCTCATAAAGCAAATAATTATTTGAACCATTAAAATTTACAAAAAAGAAAACCAAACCCTGCAGCTGTTAAGTATTAAAATTATCTAATCTCGATTTGTAAAAACCTGGGGAAGCAAACATACATTCAGCTGACATCTGAATACTGTATATAGTGAGGAGAACAAATTTATCTTCAAGGGAATGGCATCTCCAAAACCAGGTGCCACTACCAAGATGACCCTGTTGTGCATTCCTGAACCATGGATTAATGCAGGACAACACAAGCAAAGCATCTTCCCCATCTATCTTAAGGACTGAGTTGACTGTACCAAGCCTCATCTATTTACGAATTCTTGTAGTGGAGGAAATCCAATTGTTTTTCTTTCGCTAATGCATCCATCGGTGGAATGGGCGTAAAGAACATCCCTAGGGGCCACCACCATGGCAAAGCCCCCACCATCACCACTCTTCCCTACTGGTAGAGGCTGATGGAGGGGCACTGCATCCTCACCTCCTCCAGGCACCAAACATGAGGAGTGGGACAGAAGGGCTGACTACTCTCTGTCATTAATCCCAACCAAACAGTATTCTTTCCTCTCCCCTTTTTATCCAAAAACTTACTTGTAAGTAATGTGACAAGAGTGATGAATCCAAACAAGCTTGTTGAATCTCTGGCGGCCACTGGAACACAGCTGTAGCCCTACATGAAAGCTGTGGTCGGTTTCTTGCACAGGGACACGACAGAAATATCTGTACTTGTGGTAGTCAATTGGTTTCTACATGGAAACAGAAACAATATAGTGCTGTCGAGAAGATGTAACAGTAAAGATAGTTGCCAAAGCTGAAAATCAGAGTTAAGGCTGCCAAATAAATGACACTGCCTGTATATTTCCATTTGTGAAAATACGTAGGTTCTATATATGATAACCTATCATTATCATAAAACAATCACAACAGGATGGTCAGAACTGAGAAACTGTAAGTAACAGGCCCCTTTCTGGGTGGAAAATCATCACCTAAGCAGTTTGAGTTTATTTTACAGAAAAATGGATGCTATTTATATTTAAACGGCTTATAAAGATCAAAATATCTAAAAACCAGACTTACAGTAGAAAGCTTCTATTAAAAACATAGCAGTGGAGGCCTGCAAAAAAATTACTGGAGGAAGACAAACAGACGAAACTAGGTCCTTCTCGGCACCTCTGCTGTCCTCAGCTTACCTCCCGTAAAGTCTTACCTCCACCTGAATTTCTATCCCTTGCTTCAACTGATCCTTGTCCACTTTCTCTCTCTCCCTGCCCACTAAAATTCTGATGTTCTATTTCTTGCCCATAAGCTCACATTCCTCCCCCTAAACCCGCAGCTAACGGTCATTAATTATTTGGATCAGAGCAGCAGCAACAACAGAGAGATCACAAATGAGGCATAATCCAAAGGCATGAGCAGAAACCATGTATTTGCCCAACCCCCTTCATTTATCTCCTTCAAAAGAGATTACAAATTGTTGTTAACTCTGTCTACATTTAAACAGCATTTTAAGTAATTGGTAATTAGGTGATACCAGAAGGCAGCTTAGCATAGCAATAACAAAACAAAAAACTATACTTATGGGTTTTAAAAAGGAAATTGAGGGCCTTTGTGGAAGTACTTTGGTGGTGTATGTATCTTCTATTTATTTTGAAAAGTTATTTGTCTATCTGTTCTCTATGCATCTTGATACTTCTTAAGATATTGTAACCAAATTTCACATAATTGTTCTTGAGATTAAGAAGCAGGTTTTTGTCTATGTTTGGATAAAGTTTGACAACATTTTGAATCAAAATGGCAGGCCGATTCTATCAAAAGTGAACTGATTTTTTTGTGTGTCTTGGAATTCCCAAGCAACACTGGGAACAAGGCTGATAGCTTCTTTTCTATTAAGAAATTGTGTTCCAAGAAAGCATTTACTGCTTTCTTGCTATCTTAACCAATGTCTCAGTCCTCTAGCATTTGGTTTCATATGTACCTCTTCCTTCTTCTTTGTCATTACAGCAAATACTTTGGTTTGATTGTCCGTATCCTGGGAAAGGCGATAATGGCCAAGCAGGATTGCATCCGTTCTAAGGTTTAGAAGGAAAAGACTCCATTAAAATATACTTCTCAAAGAGCTGACAATACTTCACAGATACTGCTTTCCTCTCTTTAAGTGACAACTTGGGGCTGCAACTCTCAAGCCACTTAATTTGTATTTTAGTTTGCTCCTGAATGTTAATGGTACAGTATTTTAGTGCTCACACCTTACTTTAAATCCTGACATCCCCCTTACTTAAAAGACGAGGCGCCAATCCTTTCAATGCATGACAAATAAAATTCTGTGATACATAAACTTAACACACCTTGTGTTTTTAGTTCGTAAACGAGGAACAATAGACTGAGGTTCTTCCGGAGTTGTTAGCATCATTACTTGGCCATCTGGGAAGAATCTCATGTACCTACAAAATTAAGCAACATTAACCCGGGAAGGATGATTCTCCTTCTGTAAAATCACATAAACTTGAAAACAAAACAAAGAAATACAACTTAAACCAAGTTCCCATATATGTTTACATTTTTCCTACTTGAAAACAGGTGATTATGCTGCAAGGGGCTTGTACCTGCATACAAATGTCAGCGCAGTACCACCAGAACTTGTCTGACTATTTAGTTCTGACCACCAGAACTATTTCAAATAGTTTCTTATGTAATGACAGACTGCTCCCAAATGTCCCATGTTTGGGGATGTGGGAGTCTTGGATCTTGGTGAGAGAATGCAACAGAACAGCATAGGTCCCCATAATTTCACAATCACAGAGATTCAATGGTGCTACTGGAGCTATACCAGCAGCACAAGTAGGAATATCAGTGTGAAGAGTTAGCACTGGGGTGTCATATCCAAGAGCAGTTAATGCTCTGTATGCTCATAGTTTGAGAAACATGGAAGGGTTCACAATGTGAAATACTGAGTCCAAGTGATTTGCAGTGGTTTCCAACTGAAAATAGAACTATGATTTAGAAATTAAAACCTTAATCCTTATGAAATTATACATGAGCATTATTTGTCAAGTTAGGGTCTTATCTGCTGCAGTTATCACTATTAAGAATAACCAAGCTGCACTGCACGAAGAAGTAGTTGTACCTGTAATAGTCCACTTGGTGCCATGCCCTATAGAAGCCATCAAGAGACTGTTCTCCTTGACGTATGTATGTTGTCTTGCTGATGTATACACCTATGGAATAGGAAGTAAAAAAAGAGATATATCAATAAATTTATGAACAATGACCCACCGAGTTCTTAAATGATTCATGCTTATAAAGTGATAATTTTTTAAACTTTCAATTATATTATTCCATCTAAAAACCTCTTTGAAATCCATTGGATCTCTCACATAGTGATCTTCATCTTTCTCTTATTAATTTACATGCTGCAGTCCTATCCACTGCAACACAGTTGTAGTCAATCTAGTGGCATGAGGTCAATGCATCAAGCATGGGATATAGTCCCCAACTCAACCACTTCAGTTTTACCAGTCATTCAACCCCTCGGCGAACTAACACTCAAACACTTCCCATATCAGCAACCGACCAGTTAACATATTACATTGAGATATATTTAAATAAGAGAGAAAATGCTGCTGCAATTGTCTTAAGTGCTGCTTTTCTTGGTTAATGATTGCCTTACCATCAAATCGAACTCTAGGTCTTTCCAAAAACATTTCCCTCCATGAGGTATAAGGAACCAATTTGTTACAGGTCCTGCCCCAAACCTTCAAACAAGCCTGACGCCAGATTTCAGGGTCCCTAGTAAAAAAAAAAAGAAAACACATAAGAAAAAAAAAGGAAACTGAAAATACAGGGAAGAATGTATTTGGCTGTGATGTGAAGAGACTATTTATGAATGGCATTTATGCTACAGTTTAAATTTATAGACCTGTATTTTCCCCACAGTAACAAAACTGTTAGACTAAAGTTTGGAAAAATGAACCCTACACACATTACCCAGGAATAAGCCTCAAAGAACACCCTGGGACTTACTTCTGAGTAAACTTGCATAGGATTGTGCAGTGATGAGGACGTTTCGCCTGCTCGGAGGTAAAAGAGCAGCAGTGTGGGGTTTTTTGAGAGGTGGGGGAAGAGTTGAAATCTGAGAAGCAGTAAGATTCATGAGTACTGGGGACCATGCAGCACAATCCAGAATGGGAGCTAGATCGGAGACAGAATGGGACAGCCCCAGATGCACCTTAGGTCTTTAGACCCGCAAAGCAGGAGAGCCAACCATGCTTGAACACTCCAGAAGAAATAACAAGAATGCCAGCAGCCAAGTTCATGCTGGAGACAGAAATCCGCTAAAGTTGCTAATGGTCACAAGAAGCATCTCTGCCATAAGCAGTGAAGTGGTCCACCTTTTTTTGATCCTCCTCATCCCTACCCCGAAAGGAGGCATTGCAAGGACAGGCAAGATTTCCACTATTTATCTCCATCCCCTGTTTGCCCCCCAAATACATAAAACAAATCTGTGAATAATTTAAATAAACCATGGAGCTGATTGGCTAGCCTGCCTGACTGTCTCCCCCCCCCCCTTGTAAATCAAAGGTTGTTCTGTTCACGTTCTTGCTAGTTGGTTGGGCTGTCAGAATAGGCAGCTGCTACTGTTGTCATTGGGAGTCATTTGGCTCACTGCTGATGGGGTGGGGGTGAGGAGGTGGGAAGTGCTAGAGCTTTTAAATGGGAATGATCTGAATCCCATCAAAAGGAAGGATGGAGAACTTCAGGGTAGAAGGCAGCAGGGTAACACACCACAGAGGAAGCAGGCAACAGAGTGATCCCTGTTACTTCATACGGAGGCAAGCATAGCAGCACAGTTTCTCCTGCTGGCCATGTCCTATAACTTCAGACCTCTCAAATATGTGGCAATCTAGGACCCGCCATTACTCTCGTTTTGATTGTTGCAGGAAGCAGAAAGCTGGATGTGACAATGAACTGATCTGCTCTATACTTAGCAAAACTACCTTTATAACATGGCTTTTGTTTTTCATAGTTACTGTTATTTTACTTTATTTTTTAATAATAATAATAATAATAATAATAATAATTATAAAATTTGTATAGCGCCTCTCATCCACAAATCCCAGGGCGGTTCACAAAATAAAAGCACAAAATATATAACAAAAACAAGAACAAGAAAACACAAATCAATAACCCCCTCCTCTATTTTTGTTCCAAGATAAAAGTCAAAAAGAACTATTCCATGAATCAAGCACAATTACAAGCACAAATTATTACCATTTTTAAAGAAGTAAATTTCATGGTTTCACAGTAAGTTTTTAGTTTGTTTTTGTATTTAACACAAGTATAAACTCTGTTTATGATTAAAATATCTTATTTGTTGTTCTAGTAAGGTTAAAATGTTTCTGTAATTTTCCATTTCTAGGTATACTGTCCTGGAATTCATTTTTGTGAGGGAGGTGACACTATAAAATAAACACATGCTTTAAAAATACTTGATCCTTTGGCCAGTCAATTTACCAAATATTTCTAACCAAATACCCAACCCCGATTTAATCCAGACTACCAAACTATGACAGGTTTCTTAAATGAAAGTTGTGTTTGTACCTGGCACAAATGTAGAAGCCTCTGCAGACCAATGATAACTGCTCTAAAGACCTCAGGTCCAGATCACTGGAAACCACCCATCGAAAAATATACATCATCAGCTCCATTGGCAACACTTTGGAAAAAAACAGATAAATAGTAATTATATATTATTACTCCCAGCCTATTTTAGATAGCTACTTCCAAAATAAGTGGTTCTTTGGATGTGTCTCAGAATTATTCACTGTTTATTTAGAATTGTACTATTTTAATAAAGATATCATAACTATCTTTAGCTACATTAAGCATAGTGTGTTAGTTCCAAACAGCTGTTTCTCCAGAGACTGCTTATATCAGTAAGCAAGCTAAAGTAATGATTCTGCATGTCAACAAAATGTTTACATGAAGCATGCAGCCCTCTATCACCTGCACCAAAGAATTTCAGCATCTATAAAGTCAACTCTCTTCTTCTGATGACAACTGTGTTGGATACATCACATGCGATCACCAGCATACAAGGAGAAAGAATAAGTAACTATCAAGAATACAACCAAGCAAGAAGTCTTTAGGGTGTTATTGAAAGGGATATGATTCTTAAAACCAGCAAGAAGAAGATGGCAGTGTAAGTTCTTACAGCAACTACTAACAAGCAGCAGATCATGGCCTTTACAAATAGGCCTCCATTCACTTGGGTCAGGAAGCCTATGAAATTAAATGCAAAAACAAAAGGTAGGATTAAAAATAACTGTAAACAAAAAATAATAATAATCCCTGCATGTCCCTATTTTTATTACACATTTCCGACACTAAATATGTATTTTTAACATGGAAATTGTAGTGTTAAGCCTATAGCATTCCAAATTATAACAACAACAAAGGACAGTTCAGACAGAGGTTTACCAGGCTCAAATGAAAACCCATGTCTACCTTTTTACTGTGCACACTATTTCAATATGAAAACTTCCCTTACCTGAGATATGCGTCTGATTCATATCAAGCTCAGGCTGACACAGTTTGATGGATGATTCCTGAAGAGTAAATTGCTGTTGAAAGTAGGATAGAAGGTCAGCCACCTTGCTATCATTCTCATTATCTTCAATGCTAGAAGAAGGAAGCATAAAGAGATTAGATTATCATACAACAGCCCCTTAACCATGTTTATGCTGAACCTATTAATTTCAATTAATTTACTTCCATGCGTGTGTATATCTAGAATTGCAGCCTTGTTCCTGAAGGTAATGTTCTTTCCTATTTACATCATGTTCTAGAAACAACCTTTATTGGTTTCTGTCACCAATATTCATACTTGTCAATTTAAATGAGGGTTTTTCACCAATACTATTCTATATTTTTATAAGTAAATTTCCAGACAGGCTCTTAGTTCTGGAAATTATTATGATACAGCTCAAACCTACTCATATCTACTTAGATATAAGTACAATTGAGCTCAGTGAAACATGCTTCCAAGAAGATAAAGCTAAAGGGTTCACTCTTAAGATTGCACATTTATTTGGGATTAAGCTGCATCAAACTCCGTGAAATTTATGTTTGAGTAAACAAACACAGGGTTGTACTGTGCAAACTCTGCAGTTAGGTGTATTTCAACCTACTGATTTCAGAGCACTTAGGCATATCTCACTGCATAGGACTAGGGTTTAAATGTTTAGAATTGCAGCTATTCGGCATATTCCCTCATGAGCATCTTAAGCTTTCAAAATAATATGTATATTATACTTACTAGCTTTTCCCAATACTGTCACCATCTGGAGATCGGGTGTAGGTGATCTTAAACTCAATATCTGGGACCAGTTGCATAGCCAGACGATAGAACTTAATAGCTAAATATAAAAGTAATGTATACTTAAATGAACTGCACTTACTTTACTGAGCATCTTCATGAAAAGTATGCTTATTAGCACATTTCTCTGGTTATATCTAACAATGCTGGAAAACTGCTCCAAAGGGTTGCCCCCCACCCAGAGCACTCATAAAATACCAGGAGGCAGTAGGAGAGGTTGACCAAGATCAATATTTATTTCTGTAAAATAAATGCATGAATCCAAGTTCATTATCATGAATGGTTACCATGAAATAAGAAGTGTGTAAAACACATCTTGGGGGACAGTCTATGCCCACGAACTAAATAAATTCATACAGTCATACCTTGGTTGTCAAACAGAACACATTCCGGAAATCCATACAAATTCTGAAATGTTCGGAAACCAAGGAGTGGCTTCCGATTGGCTGCAGGAGCGTCCTGCAGCCAATCAGAAGCTGTGGCGGATGTTCGGCTTCTGAGGCAAAGTTTGCAAACTAGAACACCTACTTCCAAGTTTGCGGTGTTCGAGTTCCAAGTTGTTCATGAACTAAGCTCTTCGAAAACCAATGTATGACTGTATACACTTCTTACACCAACAAGGACCTTAAAGCTGAACCCCTGAATCATTAAAACTGTCTAAGGACCTATGAAAGTAGTCACAATCAACCAAAGATTAAAATGTCAGCATGTCGCCTTCTATCAGTCAGGAATAGGCAATGTGGCCTTATTTTTTCTGGTCCAGTCAAGATATGGAATAAGGTGAAATGGGAGACCAGAGAGGAGAAATAATTCCCCTGGCAATTGTATCTTCCTAGGGAAGACTACCTCACACTATTAGTTAATGCACTAGTGCATGTTCAGCTATCATTTTTAACTGACATCAATGGGAAAGACCCAAAGAACCATGTAACTAGTCCTGCAGGTTGAGGAGGGATTTGGACTTGTAAGTCTTATACAACAGTCCCCAAACAGCATGACAAGCCACTTTTCAAACTCAAGAAGTTTGGAGAGTTTGTAACACAGCAGTAGCAGCTTTGCAAAAACAACTAAGTCTTTGGAAAACAAGCAAAACAAGTAAAACATGGTTTATGCAGAGAAATGCATTACAAGCTGGGCAGATAAGTTGGCCTTCCCCCTTAGAAGTTACAGGTATGCAATATACCCGTGGCCAGTGTATAGAATCTATACATAAGCAGTGCTTGGATGGGGTGAAGATTCTAGGGTACAGAGGCAGGCCTGGGTGTCATCAGCATATAGACACTGAAAGCGTCTTTTACCACAAGGCCTATTTTTGCTCATATCAGATAATAGTGTTTCATGAAACCTGTATAAATCCACCAGTTCTTCAACACAAGTTGGTTACAATCTCCTTTGTGACTATCCTCAAAGCAGCACTTGGGAGCCACCAGTGAGAACAGGGACAGAGAACCTATGGCGCTCCAGCAGCTAGTGAACTACAACTCCCATCATTCCAGGCCACTGATCATTCTAGCTGCGGCTGATGGGAGTCGGATGTTCATCATCTGGAGAACACAGGTTAGTCTTTATAAATTTCATCTAGGCCTCATATATAGCCTGTGACATCTTGGTGGGCTGGCCAGTTGGCACTGACCCATTAAGACATCCTTTTCAATGGTAGTTATTGAATTGTTGAATGTCTCTCTAGTGATTATTAACCTGCAGAAGGAACTTGAAAACGTTCCAGTTTACAAGGCTTTTGCTGTCTGAAGAATACTGTTCCTGGAAACCCTAAGATCACTGAACGGAAGACTGTTTTAACTGCTTTTTGAATGTTTTTCACTGCAACCGATTTCAGGTTTTTTTTTAAATTGTAATCGTTTTTGGAATGTTTTAATCTGTTTTGCAGTGCATTCATTTGTTTTTAAATGGTGTATTTCTTTGCAGCCTTGGGCTCCGTGGAAAGACTAGGGCATAAATTCAATAATAATCTGCACTATACATTTAAAGCAGCATCACACCACTTTAAACAGTCATGGGAAGAGGGACTGATTCCTAAATTACTCTGGAAACTAGCTCTTTGAAGGGAATAATGGTTTCCTAGCAACTCTTAGTGCCCTTAACTACAGCTCCCAGGATTCTTTGGGGAACATTATGACTGCTTAGAATGATGTAATATGACTTTAAATCTATAGTGCAGATGGGGCCTTACTGACTGTAAAAAGTATAGTGGATGTTTCAACATGTCAGTGAAAATTATGTACTCTTATTCGCACTTAACCTTCTGTTTGAATGAAGGGAATGGATCAAATGCAGCTAGATTATAACTACAGTGGTGCCCCACAAGACGAATGCCTCGCAAGACGAAAAACTCGCTAGACGAAAGGGTTTTCCTTTTTTTGAGTCGTTCCGCAAGACGAATTTCCCTATGGGCTTGCTTCGCAAGATGAAACGTCTTGCGAGTTCTTGCGAGTTTGTTTCCTTTTTCTTAAAGCCGCTAAGCTTTTAATAGCCGCTAAGCCGCTAAAAGCCGTGCTTCGCAAGACGAAAAAACCGCAAGACGAAGAGACTCGCGGAACGGATTAATTTCGTCTTGCGAGGCACCACTGTATGCTTTATTGGTTAAAGCATGGTGCTGATAGGGCCAAGATTGAGGGTTGGTCCCTGTATGGGAAAGCTGCATATTCCTGCATTGCAGGGGGTTACACTAGATTCTATGATATCAAATCCCATTGATTTCAAGGTATTTTATTTCTTGATCAATCAGTTAGGATCCCAGTCTTACAATGGTAGCTCCATTAGCATCTTTCTCATATTATTCTTACTGAGTAAAACAGCATCTTAAGGTCTAGCTTCATTTATTGTAACTTTTATAAAATATATTACTTTTTTAAGCACGTCATTTGGTAAATGCTAGGACTGGTATTGTATTCATTTATTTTAAATGGCAACAGCAGCAGTGATTTTTATAAGGGGAAAGTTCACAAATGACCTTTTTCAGTTTAGCCATGTCCAAGTCCATTTTGAATCTACCCCAAACCCCACCCTAAAAACCCGGGCTCAATTTAGGAGGGGGTTCAATACAATGTGAACTGCCCTGAGACCTGTGGGTATAGGGCAGTATGTAAACTTAATAAATAGTAATAACAACCCTTCCATACCCTTTCCAAAATCTAGAGGCGGAAAGAAAAATATAAGCAGTTAAAGCTACACACTCCTCCAATGCTATTGGGAATCATGAGAAAACATACTTCACCAATGCTTCCCAGTTCAATCCTTATTGCATTATCATTTCCCATAATCCCTTATGACAACCAAGGAATGATCAGGCTTCTGCTATTAGAAGGATTTGAGGGCCTGCAGGCCACCTATTATTCACCCACTATCAGCAGCAGGTGTAAAATCTGGTTTGTTTTATACTTAGGTCCTTGGAATCCACCTGATGAACTCTAAGACAATTCATTTGAAATGGGCACATTCGGAATCAAGTTAGGGCAGAGTAGTGTACTGTCTACTACATATATATCCCACCTCTTATCCAAGGAACTTGGGTTGCAAGGTTCTCCTCTCCATTTTAGTCTCACAACATCCGTATGAGGTATGTTAGGATGTGAGACTGTGACTGGCCCAAGGTCACCCAGTGAACTTCATGGATGAGTGGAGGTTTTGAACCCAGGTCTCTCAACACTCTAACCACGCTGGCTTATAAAGGCCTACTGGCATGCAATGGCCCCTACATGAAAGTTGTTATAACATGAAAGAGGCTATATGATACATGAAAGGGGATATAGTGTGCAAGTCATCACACATGGAGTGTCCTACAAAAGGGCACTATGGATATCACTAGAGTTGCAGCAATTAAAGAGATTAATTTTGTGAACATCTCTTGAAGATTATGCTTCCCTTCCAGTAACCTTCTGTGTTGAGACTGTACTGTAAGGACTGGCACTCTACCATATGTTTATGGTATAGATGCATTTCATCAATCTCTTTATTATAGAATAGTACATTTGTTCCAGTGCATCTTCTAGTAATAAATGCACTTTCTCTAATCATCATTCTGTCTCATTTTGCAGAAATACCAAGTTATTCACACACAAGAATTTTATAAAGTTTTTTATTTAAAAGAAAAGAAGGGTTAACATCACAGAACCAACATGACTCAGGTGAACTAACCTAGCAGCCTGGAGTGTAGAAACCAAAATAGATGAGGTTGAAATAGGTGAAGTTGCAAAGTCTTATGCGGCAAATGCAGCACAGCCTAATACAGTCTTAGCACATCACCGAAACTGGATAAAATTCTATTATATGGGGCAAGTTGCTTTATTTTTAAAATGTGGTATATGGCTAAAATTATCCTGTCCTAGCAATATTACATATTAGTGCAGCATCCCAACTGCACAAAGACAATATTCTATTGTATTTTAAAGGGTATACAAACAGTGCAACTCTATGTATATTTACTCTGGACACAGTAGAACTTTAAGAGTTTTACTCACACTTAAGTGGGCATAGGGTTGTAGCCGAATGTTCTTCTTTGACAGGAATATCAATGTTAGGACCATTAGAAGTCATTCTTGAGTACGAACATTTTTATATAAAAGAATAACTTGCTACAGCTATTCACACAAGCAGCATGTTTCAAAGTGAAGCAACTATTTTAAGGTTCTTTTTTAAAAATAGGATTTAATAAGCATGGAAACTGGGACAGGAGCTAGTTTGTGTTTTTCAATATCGAAGCCTCAGAAAACCAGAGACAAGAACTACCCTCAACAAATAGAATAGTATGCTATTTTGTGCAGGTTAAATTTAGCAAGATCCTAAAAGACCACCCACTGCTGCCTATTCTATATGTCAAGGCTACTTCTCAAATTAGAATGCTGGTAAAAATCTGTTTCACACTGAGCAATAAAAGTGAAGAGAGGGATCCTTAAGAGAAATCTTATTCAAGTCAAATTAGACATCACTTTGACTTTTTTCCAGCAAAAAAATGGGATTTAACAGCTTTAAATTTCACTAGTTTTAGCCTTTTTAAAGACCCCCGAGAAGCTGTTTTCAGGCACCGGCAGCATGTAATAATTTCCTGTATGAAACAGTAGAATTTCCTTGAGAGCTTTTACCAAAACGTCCTCCTAAGAGCATTCAAAAATGAAGATGACAAAAGCTGCATAACAATATGTTTAGAAGGTACCTAATCACATTGTGATCAGTAAAGCCATTTAGACACAGGCCAATATTTATGTGACTTTTTAGCACAGTATCCCTTCTGCACAGGAAGCTTTCCCACGGGTGTATATATTAAAAAGGTAAAGGTACCCCTGCCCGTACGGGCCAGTCTTGACAGACTCTAGGGTTCTGCGCCCATCTCACTCTATAGGCCGGGGGCCAGCGCTGTCCGGAGACACTTCCGGGTCACGTGGCCAGCGTGACAAAGCTGCATCTGGCGAGCCAGCGCAGCACACGGAACGCCGTTTACCTTCCCGCTGGTAAGCGGTCCCTATTTATCTACTTGCACCTGGAGGTGCTTTCGAACTGCTAGGTTGGCAGGCGCTGGGACCGAACGACGGGAGCGCACCCCGCCACGGGGATTCGAACCGCCGATCTTTCGATCGGCAAGCCCTAGGCGCTGAGGCTTTTACCCACAGCGCCACCCGCGTCCCTAACGTGTATATATTACGTTGTGCCAATTGGATATCAAGACTCAAGGGTGAATTTGCATGTAGAAGAGCTTGCTTAGCTATGAAAGTTCACCAGTGTCAATGGCACCTATCTGCCACCGACAGATGCTGGGTTTCTAAATATAACCAAATTCAGTACAGTGGTACCTCTGGTTATGAACTTAATTCGTTCCAGAGGTCTGTTCTTAACCTGAAACTGTTCTTAACCTGAGGTACCACTTTAGCTAATGGGGCCTCCTGCTGCCACCGCCACACAATTTCTGTTCTCATCCTGAGAAGTTCTTAACCTGAGGTACTACTACCACAGTTGCAGAGTCTGTAACCCAAAGTGTTTGTAACCCGAGGTGCTTGTAACCCAAGGTACCACTGTACTTTATATCATGGTGGCATGTTAGCACACCACAGGTGAGACATTCTTAGATTTTGAATCCTTCCCAAGTAATGGAACTAGGCTCCTGACAAGTAATAATTTTCTGCCAAGGAGTACTTGTCAATTCACACGTGCAGTGCTAATAGAAAAATGTAGCAACAAGTTCTATATATTCCAATACATACTTCAAAATGAAATTGTCAGTTAAGTTTAGAAGTTCTTAAAAAGAAAAGGGCTTTAGAATCATTTATTAATCCTCACAACATCCCTGTGAGGTAGGGTACTGAAACATCTCTTCCCTCACCCTAAGGCTACCTAATTAAATTTATGACTGAGCAGGGCATTTAACATGGTTCACCCAAGTCAAAATCAATATTCTAGCCAAGGCACCAGAGGCCCCATGTCATCTGAACTGTAGTTAGCGGTCCTTCACTTTTGCAACAGGATTCTTAATCAGCAGATGAGAAAACAAAACTGCTTAGCTCTCAGCTGTGTTCACAATTCTTTCCTCCCAACAATTACTGTACAAATAGTAGTTTTCACCCACAGCAGCCTATGAATTCAGTTCATATGCAACAGTTAAGATCCAGAAATTTACTGTATAAAGATTAAAACACAAACATTAGATTACCTTCATAAAGAGCCCCATTTTGTTCTTGTTCCACTGCTTTCAGGAACAGTTCTCTTGCCTGTACAAAAATTAGTGAATTGTTTGAGTCGCTTGCCAGCAAGCCAAATAAAATTACTACTCAATCATAATATATGGCAAGTTTTATCAGCATTAAATATAAAATTAAGACACACAGAAGTGAAGTTTTTCTTGTCCAACTAAATGGATTGTGTTTGAGATATGTCATTTTCTTAACCTTAAACTTTCATCACCTCGCAATACCATTTTACTACTATTTGTTTTGCAGTTTTACAATTAAATTGTCCATCTACGGTAGTTCTGAAACTGGCAGTAATTCCACTCTGAAAATATCTCAATACAATGTCCACAAGAGGATGTGCCATTGTGGATCTTTACAGCAGTTTTTCCAAGAGTAAGATAAAATTATGATTTGATAATATCATGGTGACTAGCATCTGCTGGAAAAAAACAGTAACTCCTTGTAGATTCTACACCTAGAGCAAAAATCGGTGACATATTAAGCAAGAAAGCACCTGCGGGATGATTTCCAAAAGTGAAGTCTAAGGCAGTTGTGAGAGAAAGCACAGTCGTCAGAGCACATTACAGCTGCAATATTTCTGCCAAGTCTTTCAATTAAGAACAGAACACACAAATCAGTGAAATAGCAAGTTTTTCCAACATATTGTGTTATTTTTGATAAATAAAATTTGCTCCAAAATTTCCTAGAGCATCGAATGAAAAAGACACAGCAAAAAAGAAATGGGAAAGGGAGATAGTTATTGTCATTCCACTTTCCTTCAGAAGAAAAACTGTCTAGCTTACTATAAAAAAGTGATTGAGGTGAATCAAGTTCTTCAGCATTTTCGGTTTTGACATGCATCTTCCTTCTGTTACGAATTCTTCCTATTTACACATGCAAGTTAAATTAGTAGGATTTTTGTCATTTTTATCTTGCTAATTTATCTATCCTAATAAAAATTTGTCCCCATCATTTTACTAATTTATCTACAATAAACATGGCTAGTCCCTTTTCTTCATTGAACTTGGATCCAGACAAGCATTTTAGGAACTCTGAGCAACATCTTCCAAATAAATATTTTAAAGCATCTTTCTGTATTTCCCAGCTTTAAGGGTAATACGTCCATATTCTGTTAATTCAGAAGATGAAACAGAATGAGAAAGTAGGGAGAGATGGCACAGCGGTTAAGAACAGAAGTAGAAAAAGTAGCCCATGCTTTTTAAGTGCTTAGCCCGTAGAGATTGCATTCCATTAGGTCACTGAAGATAAGAAGCTCAAGTTCTTTACCTTTTCCTCTTTTGCTAGTTCCAGCTTTCCTTTGGTATCTACAGCCTTTACTGAAGGCCCTCTTGCCGACGTTCTGCAGGATCGAACCTCCAAACCCGTAGAGCTCACCCCTGGGGTAAGTTCAAACATCCATTGTGCTCTGAACATCTGGAGCTCTGCCTAGAAATCCAGAAACTAAATCCAATATTTGGGTAGACGTGTCTACAAGTGCAAGATATTTAGATAATTTCTTCCATGTAATGAAGCAAATGATTCTTGGTATTTTACTTTTTTAAAAAATCTGAAGGTATTATTTATTCCAGTCAGTAACTGACATTTTGCTGCTGAATTTTAGTGTATTCATAGCTACTAATTTTAGTGAGAAAGAATCACTTTGCTGTGGGCCTTTCCAGGACAAATTTGCAAGTTTGGAAACAAGCAAAATAGATTCTGGTACATCTTGTCAAACCCAGTGCAACTGAAACATCACAAAAACATGGAATGCCAATAAATGGGTTCTGACAATCATCTAAACAAACTGTTTATCATATAGTTAAGCCATCTCAGCAAGTGCTTTCTGAACAAGATTGCAAGGTCCTAATCACCAATGAATTTCTACTATTTTCTAAGCCAGTTTCCGAGTAAATATGGTGAAGAACTATTTTGGGGTATTTTCATTTGGTGAAAGTAATTGCGCTGGATCATTTAACTTGCTGAAAAATGAAGTGAATTCCTCAATCATTATTGCTGCTAAATTATAAGCTGTCCCATTTCCTATTTATTGTAAGAAAACTAAGAGTTGCAACATTCTTCAAATCCTTCGGATAAGTATGTGGCAGGTGTCACAATAAGATGCTAAGATGTCCCAATCTACACAAAAAGATAATACCCTAAAGGAAAAGGAAAAGTCTATTTGCAGAAAGAGCTTACTATAGCTCATTCTTCAGAGAGTGACCAATATACACTATGTCAGTATTTTAAAGCTTGGAAGTTAGAAAGAAGCCAGGAATTACAGCATTTTGTATGAATTAATTCACTCCCTCAGATTGTAAAGTATTTCTTATCCACAGATAGAACTTACTTCTACTGCCTCTGGAATTACTTATCTTTATGAACATTATAGCACAATAAAATCCTTAAAACTTTTCAGTCCAAAGAAACAAACGAGGCACGTTATCAAATTGCCTATCCGTTTAAAGCATTCATATACATTGGCTCTAAAGTGCTGATTGGGACAAGTGTACCAACGAAAGGGCAAAAAATACACAGATCAAAGATCTAAATTATGCAGATGAGTCCATGCCCTAAAATACAATAGCAGACATACCTGAAGATTTGCTTCCCCAGGCCTTTCATTGTCATCTGCTCTTACCATGTCAGAGTGACAATCTTCTTCACCTTCTGCCTGAGAGAATAAATCACATGAAATTAGTACTTAAAGTCACATTTTTAATGAAATTAGTACTGTCCCATAATTTGTTCTTATCCTACAAAACACCTAATCTAAAATCATACAGAATTTTTAAGCAGATGTTATAGATGAGCCACTATTCATACTCAAAGTATTCCCTCTGAAATTATTATATATTATTAATCAAATAATAATAATAAGTACTTGCATGCAGGATTCTATATCATTGCAACTCTGCGGTTTGTTCATCACTGCTTCATACTAATGAGATGAATATTAATTGGCTACAGTTTATTAATGGGATCGTTTACTAACTTTAGACTGTGCTCAATGGTTGACCTGTCTTCTGAAAGATAACCCCGTAGCCATTTTTAAAATGAGATCTCTTCATGCAACAGATAAATAAAAACATAAAACAGGATACATAAAACCATTTACACAGCCTTGCAGAAGACAACCAAAAATGTTTAAAAAACATTTAAAGATGTGTTTCCTAAGATAAGCTATATTTTGGAAGAAAAGGTAAGTGAACAAATACTATTATTTACTATTAAAACTAAGACATCTATAGCTAAGCTCTGAAACAGGAACTTTTCGAGTGTAAATTTAACTATGTGGCATTCTAGGTAAAGAATTTTGTATTCACCTCATTTGTATAAAGCAGTGATGAACAAACACCGGAGTCACAGTAACTTGACGTACAATCCTGCATGCAAATACAGAACCTTATCAGACCATGCATGAAGTAATGCTGTATTTTATTTGTTCCAGTCTTATACACCATTTGCTCCAGATGAAAACATAGGGCAGTTTGAAACAATAAAATATATATATAATATATAAACCAAAATGAAGTCATTCATCCATTTAAAAAACAGCAACACTAAGCCTCAACAGTATCAAGACCATCAAGGCCTGGACAAATACACATGAAAATAGACTGTGTATATGGAATTAGTGTAGCAGCTGCAACAAAGAGCTGAAGGTGGAAAAATAAAAAATCCTCCCACTATCTCTCATGAAAGTCTCTTACTTCCTTTCACAAAAACCTTCAGCCACACTCACAAGAAAGCACAGAATCAAGACAGTGGGAAGAGGAGTCATTTTAGGCTGCTTGCTATTTGATTTTTCACACTAGTTCTTGACAGGAATATTACCTGGATTGAGTTTTCCTTCACTGTGGGATCCTAAAACTCAGAAAAATCTTAATTGCAACCTGCTCAAAAGCATGTTCATACTGGCAAAACTGATGTGCATCACCACACCCAGCTCAGCAAATGACTCATTCTTGCTACTTGGGATATAAATGCATGACACCCAAGTTCTGAGTGCTCAATACATATACTGTATACAAACCTATTAACTCATAGATAGCTTCAACTAGACTCATCCAATGAACAGATTCAAAGTTTGGGACCAAAGTGCTTTCAAAGTGGCTCAAACATTCTAAAAATATCTTAATGCTAATGTTTCCACTATTGTTTCATATAAAATCTTCCTTGAGTTCTGTTGGCTTCACTGGATGGATGGCATCAGTAGCTCTTGTATATTTATTATTATTTATTATTTCTGTTATTTTTATTTTGGTTAGTCACCTCCTCTCGCCATAGGCCACTCAGGAATAGAAGCTGCTGTTGGCAGTGATGAAGTCTTCTGCAAAGACCTCGGTGTTCAAGGCTGCTCCCTGTATGTATGCATGTATTTAAGTATATACAGTAATTCTACATATTCATATACACATATGCATACACACGCATATTCATATACGCGCATATTCATATACACATATGTGCACATTCCTATATATGCGCATGCACACACACAAAATAACAGCGGTCATATGCTTAATTTTGCATCTCGGTGCTCGTATCATCTGCCCCGGACTTCAAACATGATGGATCACTGGGGAGAACTTAAGAATTTCCCCTCCAACATTTCTCCCGATGACAACAGGGATGCCGTAAGGAAAAGGTGGATCAAGTCAGAATCCAGGGATCGAATCAGAAACCGGGATGGCTTCTGCAAATCCGGGACGGCCCCTGACACCTGGGAGGGTCTGCGCACGGGACGAAAAGGAGGGCAGGGAGGAGGGAGGCGCGTTCCGCCCCGACGTGCCCCGCCCCCGTCACACGCCGCCATCGCCCCCCTCCCTTACCATGCTGAGGCCGAGGCAGTTCCTACCCCAGGCCGCCCGTCCAACGGTCGTTCTCGCGCGGCTGCGGGCGCTGTGGCTGTTTCAAGGCGCGAGCGGCCTCTTCGGCTGGTTCTTCGCGAGCGTCGGTGACGACCGGCAGCCGCGGGCCCCGTCTTTTGTGCCTTGAATAATGTCTGGTTTTTAAGTTTTCTTCACCCCCTCCTCTTACGAGCGGTTAAACAAGCCGGGAAGGGAATTTTAGTAGAGTTCTCGGTCGGAGAAGCGGACCACGCAGCGGGAGTCACTGCGAGCGCGGCGTACGGCAGCCATTTTCTCAAGGAGAGAGAGAGCGAGAGCAGGTCGCAGGCGGGCGGGCGGGCAGGCAGGCAGGCGAGCGAGTGTCGCCAACTGAGCCGCGGAGCAGACGAGGCGCGCGGTGCCAGATGGGACGCCGCTGTGCGCACGCGCGCAAACCTTTTCCCTCCTCCCACTCGGGGCGCAGAACCAGAGCGGATGGGTGTGGCGAAGAGGACACACTCTGTACCCAGAAGGCAATGCGCTAACGGTTGTTGTTTGTTTTGGTCTTCCGTTACTCTGTGCTGCCTGCCGGGAAGTGTAGGCGGCGCAGTGTATGCCGGGAGCTGCGAAAGCGCTCTTTAAGCATTCTGCTGGGCGGTGATTGGCTGGGATGAGGCTTTCAGAAACGTCTCTCCGTGGTGTGCGATGGGGATTGTAGTTCCCGGCGGCTGAGGGCCGTTTAAGCGCACGGGGCTGTTGGGGGGTGTCAAGTTGTAAACCAAACCAACCATCTGGACTTTGTGTGGTTTCAGGCCTTTGGCTCTCCCCTTAAACTGAGTAACGTGCGTGACCTAAGCATGGTTTCCCACAAGCAAATCCCACGGGCCTCGGTAGCACTTCCTTGCCTGGTAAGTGGCGAAAGGAAGGCAGCCTAAGCGACAAGTGTTTGCCCATCTCCCATTGCCTTCCCACCACCCGAGCTACTCCCGTTTTGTATAGAGGTGCAACCAGTGCTTCCCCCCCCCAAAAAAAAATGTTTAGGAGTACACTCATTTTCCTACTCATGTTGAAATACTGCCCCTCAATGAGGCCAAATTTGGATTCACCAAATGTTTAAGGCGCCGTGCCGGATTTACGTATAAGCTAAACAAGCTATAGCTAAGGGCCCCATCCTCTTGGGGGCCCCAAAAAAATTTAAAGGAAAAGGAAAACTGGATGTACATTTCCAAAATAGAAGATAAAAAAACAAATGAAATAAAACCTACATACAGCAAAAGTGTTTTGTGTTGTGTATGGACCTATTCGGTCCATAAATTACCATATAGCATATATTCAACACAAAAAACAGCGACAATTGGTTGTTGGCAAAGGACAGTTGGACATATAAAGGGCCCCATTACCTTCAGTAGCTTAGGGCCTCATCAAACCTAATTTCAGCCCTGTTTAGGGGTATGCGTCCCCCCAGAAAAAAGCACTGGGTGCAACTAAGGGGAAAGCGGGCTGGCTGCATGAGGAGCCGGTGACAAATTTGGATACAGCATCTGGGGAGACAGAGAGACCCAAATATATATTCCCTTTTTTAGCTTTCATGGAGAGACTGATAAGCTGAACTTCTCCCTCTCTTGACAAAAGAGTTTTGCATCCATCTTTCGGTTTCCGTCTCAAGTTCTTTCCCATCGCTTTCTGCTGTTTGCTTCCTGCAATCCTCATAAGCAATGCTGTTAGGTTTAGATTGTCCACCCATCGTGTAGGTGGCCGTTTCCTTGGCCTTTTAACATTGTAGGTAGGGAATAAGAAAAAACTCTCTTAGGCTGCAGTGCTAAATATACCGTAATTATGTCTGGTTGGATGCAGTGGGGTTCAGTTCCAAGTAAGCATAGAATTGCACTGTCCAGCCTTCATCCTTTGCTGATACTAGGCCTAAAGTACTCTGCCTAACAAGACAGGACTGAACTGAATACCTGCTCATCCCTTGTTCTTCATCTTCCTCATTTTTATTACTACTTCTGTGTTGAATTTCAGGTTATTCTTTGGGGCATCATCTTTCCTTGCTCTATGAAGAAGTCATATACATTGATGGCACCAGTGTTGTGCATAGCGATATATAAACAAACACTGTTTATGCTGCGCTTAGCTTCTACAATGATATGTATCAAAGCTCAAGCCTTCCTGTGCAGTGCCTACGGATCCTACCACTGTTCCCTCAAAGCCTGCTGTGTTGGCTGATGCATTGACAAGTTCAGCGTTCCCAGTTGTTGCTGCATGTTTGAAAACATGTCCAGGGGCCAAGCTTTGCTCATCTTAGGCTTGCATGCATTGAACTTGCTGCTTTTCCAGGAAATAGGACAAAAAGTTGTGCTTGCCTAACTAAATGCCATACGGGGGAGCTGCTGAGTTGCTTTTACCAGGGAAAGCTCTTGGTTGTCCCTGCTCAGTGGCCGCGTTTTCCTTTTGTGTGTGTACAGTATGTTTTTCTCTTGGTGGGCGGAAAGCTTCCCCTTGCCCATCTGAGTGCGATGAGTCTGCCTCTGCTCTGGTTTCCTTCTGATGGAAGAATCTACGGCTTCCACTAGCAGGGTTTGTACTGGCTATACAACTGTAATTTTTAATCTTGCAGAAGCCTTATTTCCAACATTTGCAGGACTTGCTTCTCCTTAAAGGGTGCATGTGAAGCTGACAGACTTCCTTTGGAGCACTGATGTAAATTTTGTGTGTCAGTCCCACAGACATGACAGCTTTGGGGGCTTCGGAAAATCAGGTTAATCCTCAGGTTTTTGTTTATTGTCCAAATTCCTGAGATCTTAGCCATCCCTCCATGTCTGATTAAGGAGTAAAATAAGAGTAGAAACTTCATTTGTTGCTTACATTTTGAATTGTTAAAAGACGACTTTTGCTACTATTTTGACATCTTAAGAAGAGGCCTAAAACTTGTCTGCTTGCAAGAATATTCTGATTTGGCCTATAATCTACTGTGGGAAAGCATGTAGAGACATTGATAGTTTTTTTTTAATTTGTTTGTTCGTACTGTAGCCTTTTAATGTGATTTGTTGGCAGTATTTTAATACAAATGCTTATTTCGTGATAACGGTGGATAAAAAATAAAAACTGATCTAAAAGCAACAACTATATAATGTAATCACTAATTTTCTCTTAAAGAACAGATTAAATAATAATAAAATCTGTTTGTTTTTTTAAAAACTTTTTTCTTAAAAATAATTTGAATAATACAGGTCACCCGCAAAGTTATATATTGGGCAGCAGCATCTGTAAGATATTCTAAGTTTAGTAAAAACCAAATAAAATATACAAAGCTTTATTTACAGTACATAAATCATACTATATTTAGTTGTAAATTTACATAGTTTAATAGATATTCACTATTAATTAGGTAATGTAGGGGAAGGCATCAATTCAAAACCTTTAAATAGCATTTTTTCCTTGCATATTTCAAGCATGATCTCTGAGAGGTCTAGAGGGTGGGTTACACAAGAAAAGGCCTTTTTGGTTTGTAATGAGTTATCATGGCCTATATACTGTTCACATTTAGCTGTTGCTTTGAATACTGAGATTTTTGTTTTATTCATTACATTTATATGCTGCCTTTCCGCACCTAAGGTAGTTTACAATTTACTGTACAATTGGGAGGAGAAGCAAGAGAAGGAGACCGTCTGGTTGGAGCAGGCTGCTAATGTTGCCTTTGCCTGCCTCCCTCACATGCTGCTTCCTCCATACTGAGCAGATGGTGTCTGTTGGTCCTCTGGGGACAGGGAAGGGGCATGAATGTGACCATGTCATCCATTCATTCTCCACTACAAAACTCATTGTGCTCGCTATGGAAAACTGTAACCTCAAATAACATTATTTTAAAGAATATCTCTAGAACATCTTCTTTGCCTATCTATCTGTCTATCTTGTAATTATGAGTACTGTGTTTTGCTTTGTGGTCCCTTTCATTTATGTACTTAGTTTTCAGGTAGGAGTCACTTGAAAAACAAACAGGAGGTATCCTTTGCATTTCTCTTGATCCCCCCCCCCCCAGTGCAAATTAATCATATTGTCTGTGATGGGACTGAGCTCTTTGTTTTGTTTTTCATTTGCATGACTCTTAACTCTGGGAATTGCCAGCAAAGTTCAGCTTTCTCATGGTTATCTACTGTATATTTTGGAAAGTTGATTGTTTACCAGATCGCTATGCATTTGAACATCTTTAGTTATTGTAGCCAAGGTTTGCATAATGGTTTCTAAGATGAAGGAGCAGGCTTTCACCTGTGTTTGGATAAAATTGGACATGCATGTTGGTGGACTGAACTTTTCAAAACTGTGCTGTTTTGAACCTCTGGTTTCAAAACTGTTGGATGCAAGACTGCTAGGGATGCGGGTGGTACTGGGGTCTAAACCACTGAGTCTCTTGGGCTTGCCGATCGGATGGTCAGCGGTTCAAATCTGCTCAGTGGTGATGAACTCCTGTTGCTCTGTCCCAGCTTCTGCCAGCCTAGGAAGTTGAAAGCATACCAGTGCAAGTAGATAAATAGGTACCATTGTGACGGAAAGGTAAATTGTGCTTCCATGTGCTCCGGCTTCCATCACAGTGTCCTGTTCCACCAGAGGCAGTTTAGTCATGTTGGCCACACGACCCGGAAAGCTGTCTGTGGACAAATGTTGGCTCCTTTGGCCTGAAAGCAAGATGAGCACTGCACCTCATAGTCGCCTTTGACTGGGCTTAACCGTCCAGGGGTCCTTTGCCTTTTACCTTATGTAGCCATTTTCACTTTCAGATTTACAAACCAGTTAACTTCAGAATGGTTTGGCTGAGATCCCATTGAAACCTGCAGAAATTTTACACTCGTTTTGAGCACTTAGACTCAGTGGCGTAGCGTGGGGGGTGCAGGGGGGGGCGGCTGCACCGGGCGCAACATCTGGGGTTAGGGCAAATCCACAGGTTAGGGGGCGCAAATCCATGGGTTAGGGGGCGCAAATCCACGGGTTAGGGGGCGCAAATTACTTGCCTTGCCCCGGGTGCTGACAACCCACGCTACGCCACTGCTTAGACTCAGGAGCCTCATTTAAACAATAGGTCTTATTTTCATGAAAATCAATAAACCTAGGACCAGGGATTGAGTCCTATATGTTTTCACATTATACACCAAACAAGAAATGTTCCTTTTGTATCCTTACCACTGACTTTGCTTTTGCTTGCTACCTTGATGCTCAGCTCTTGCTGCAGGGTGGGGTTAGAATTAAAATACTAAAATGTCTCCATTACAGCTTTCAAAATGAGTGCTTTTAGACATTAACACGATTAATTTCCATTTGCCAAGATGCTATTTGACATTTCTGAAGCAGCATCCATTATGTTAAAATGACAAAAGCTTTCTTGGAAAATTAAGAATAATTAAGACCAGGGGATAACTATGTACCTTACCTAGAGTCCTGTGTGTGTGCAAAGTGATATATATGTAGTGTGGCCTTCTATTATAGGCTGGAGAATCCATGTTTGTGGCAGAACTCCAGGTATGCATTGCTAGACCAAAAGAATTCCCGCCTGGATAGCATAGGGAGGTTATGAATTACTTTTGTTCTCTGTACATAGAATCAGATGGTCACTTACCACGCAGCAAACACTTTAAACCCCTTCCCTACCTCCTTCCCGCTGATGGTTCCAACTGTGCAGAGAGTCAGTCTGTAGCCTCTGGCCATGAATTTGGCATATCACACAATTAGGCACAAACATCACATAACGAATGGCCACGCTCCACAGTTTCATCAACTAAAGCAGAATTAAAAAGCAGTGAGTGATAGCTCTATTAACAACCATTTTGAACACACTGTTTCATAACATAAGCTCCTTTCCAAAGAAAAATGACAGTGCGGGGTTTTTTTAAAAGAGCTTCCTCCTTAAAGATGAAGGGCAGGGAACAAAAATACTAGGCTTAAAAAATATATATTAAAAGATTCATTTGCTTGTGATCTTTGACCCATGATTAAGGTTTGTCTTCAATAAAATATATTCATTGTGGCAACTAAATAAATATGTTGAAAATTTATTAACATCTTACGAAACGTTTGAGAGAAAAATCTACTGTGCTCTGAGTCAGCGACCCATTGCTAATCTTTTAATAATGAAGGCTGACATAGGGTTCCTTGTGGCTACAGGAAAACAAACACTGTGGTGCGTGAATTTTCCAAGTGCTCCCCCCCCCCCGGCACTGGGTTTAAAAAACAAAACAAAAACTATGGAGGTATCATTTGAATATGATAAGATGATATTTAGCCTTCCGGTAAGTAAGCTGACCTAATCATAAAGAAAATGATTGACAGATGGTAGACAAGAGGGAATAATGAGTCTCTTTTTCATCTCTCTTCTGAATCTGAGACAGGGGCAGCTGGTCTTGTTGATAATCCTAAACCTTCTGGAATCAGATTAATCATTGGTCTATGTTATGCTGGGATAACATTGTCCATTTATGTCTTGCCTCTGTCTGGTCTATCCATCTAAATATGATTTTGACGATAAGAAATTATTATAAATTAAAGTGCATGATTTTATCAGAATTGACAGGACTATGTCTTTGTCATTAACAAACTTTTTCTTGGATTCATTCTTCCAGTTCATATTTTTGTGCCTATAATTTTGTCAGTTTCTGGTGCTAGTATAAATTGCATTAAGTAGTTCATGTGGGCCATCTTATCAGTAGAGCACACCACACCCTCATTTGATCCCCTGTCTTCAGGCAGACGAGGAAAAACACAGATAATGATTATGAGCCACATTGCAGGGAAATGGGAATATCCAAACATTTTGGGCTTGGAAAATGGTTAGCATTTCCCTGTATTTTTACAGACGCAAAGCCAGTCCTTGAAAATATGAGCCCGGACAACATTCACACTGTTCCAGATGCTTTGTGTTTGTGCTGCCACCGGAAAAACTTCACTCTGAGAGGAAATGCAGGTGTGGAAAACGGCATCCCAGGGACTGAAATGAGTTTGCATTCTGGAGGACCTCCATCATGAATAGATATACAACTATTAAACAGCTGGGAGATGGGACTTACGGTTCTGTTCTCCTGGGAAGAAGTATTGAATCAGGGGAGCTGATCGCCATTAAGAGGTAAGAGGCTCATGTATGTTGTTCTTGTACAACTTCAACATTAACTCTTTGCAGACACTGTGCAGCTTAAATAGTAGGTGACTACAAGTTGAAAACGTCTTTGAAGATTGTGGAATCCAACTTTGCTGGCTTTGAAACTGGGCCTGATCCATTGGATGGGGGAGTCCGAAGCAGTGTGATGTGGTACGAATATCAGCATGTTTGATAGGCCACAACCAGGGATCTGTGTTTGTTGCTCTTCAGCAGACCTGTAGGACTTGGTATTGAGTTAAACTGCAGCTTCTTGAGAATCTCTGCTTTCTAGCCTTTTGTGGCTAGGTCATGCCTATTGAAATCTTTGAAGTTACTGGAATTTTGTGATAGAGTTACTCTACCCTTAATAGCTTCTCATCTCACTGCAACGAAATAAATTATGGGAAAAGATAATTTTACAGAATCTTTTGTGCAAAATATGTTCAATTATCCACATTCAGCTTTTCAGTGCAGAATTTGGTTGCCTAGGTGCAAGTTTATTTAGCACAGAATATAGAAAGCCATGGCTGTAACCAACCAGTATGTTACAATCACATCTGTCCAGCTGACCAGATGGCTTTTGATGGGATTTTGACTCCCATGTCAATGTGGATGTGTTGTCTGTGCATGTATTGTTTATGTACAGCTTGCAGTATTTCACAATGTACCGGTACTTGTTCAGAACCGCAATAACAGATGAATAGCCTGGAGAAAAATAGCAGCAATGCATTTGTATTGGAAAGGTTGGCATCAAATTCATCCACAATTCATGCACTGCAGATTAATGCACTGTGCAAGCAGGAAGCTTTGTCTTCACATTGAGCTAGTTTCAGTGTTTTGCCACATACTCTTTGCCCAAATGTTATTTAATTTCCTGATCCTCAGCTTTAGTTGGATCACAAGTACTTTTTTAAAAATGTCCTGGCTCTATGCATGTTTTGATGGGCAGAGATGACTAGAACTGCAGGCGTGTTCCAAATATAATGTTAGCCACAATCCAGCTATTTTTTGGTTTGTTTTAGGGTAGAAGATTGTCAACAACTGCACATGAACTAGTAGAAGGCATCATATAGTTAGAATATGTTTAGTAGCTGTAGTTTAGGTTGAGGTTTGCTTTGAAATATTTTTTGAACTGCTGCCAGAATGCCTTGTTTCAGCACAAATCAGCAATTTCTCTGGCATTTTTCTACTAGAGAGAGAGAGAGAGGTTCTGATTTTTTTACCTTCATTGAGAAAAAGAGAATATTCCATATTTTTTCTTGTGCTAGAGGGAGAGAAGGAGCCACTGACCCAGTTATATTTATGGATTTGGGAGTATGTGGCACTTACATCACCATAAGGATTGCCTGATCATCATTTCACAGGGTTGTTTGAATAAGATGTTGTTCCTTCAAGTCTCATTTTGATTGAGCAGCAGTGGGAAACCTGTGACCCTCAAGATGTTGATGAATTACCACCATCCCTTACCATTGGTCATGCTGGAGTCCAACCACATTGAGGGGGGCACAGGTTCCCAGACTCTGTGCTAAAGGGTGTTTGGCTTATTTTCCAGCTAAAAGTGGAAATCTGTGGATAAGGAGAACATTGTGCTTGTATTAAATGAATTTACCCAATAGCTTGCATTTGGTGGTGGGCAATGCTGAGGAGATGGTACAGTATATTTGAATACATGTTATAGAACTGAAGTATCATATAGGAAAACACAAACACTTTAGACAAAATCTCCAGATCTTCAGAATGTGGAATGGACAGGATCATCAGATCAAACTCTTTACCCTGAAGATAAAACAGCCAAGACTCAAGATATTCCCTTACGCTGAAAACCTCAATATAAATTGCGGTATAAAACAATGCTTATTTGGGGGGGGGGAATCGACAACAATAAACTTTAAGAAATAGGGTTGTGTGTTTTTTTTAAAATGCAGCAAACTGACCTAAATCACATGCAAAGAAGAATACCATGTTCTCATTCTGCAAGTCATGAGTGGCAAGGAGCTATGCCTCAATAATCTTATCAGAGGTTTGCATGCTGACTTTTAAACCTCTTTAAAGCCAAAAGGAGGAAAAATACAGATTAATTAATAAAACAAACAAAAAAAATACATGTGCTCCATATGGGTGGAGTGCCAAAGAGAGCTCCATATGGGTGGAGTGCCAAAGAGCTAGCCTTTAGACCTGTGCACAGTGGGATTTTTTTTTCTCCCACCACCACCATATGTGCTTTAAAAATCCTCTTAGTATTGTAAATGTGTTTCCATGTGACAGTGGCAGCGTTCAATAACCACAAGCCCAAAGACCTTGTTGGGCATGCAGAACTAGGGTGATTGTTGGATCCCAGCCATAAAAGAAGCACAGCTCTGAGTATTGTGAGCTTCCATTTATTCCTTCATGGACCTAGTACATGAGTAGTATCAGATTGTGATACTGACTTCCTTACTTTGTGCTTCACAGGATGAAGAGAAAATTCTACTCCTGGGAAGAATGTATGAATCTTCGAGAAGTTAAGGTGCGTTAATCTGAAATTTGCACTGGATTCCTTCAGCTTTGGGTAGAGCTGTGGTTGAAAGTCCATGGTCAGATGCTGTCTTGGGCAGCATTGCACATTCCTCCAGGGAGCTGGAGTGCCTCTCGGCTGAAGAACGGATTGTGCCAATGTGCCCACTATCAGCATTCATCTTTACAAGGCCAGAGGAACATTGGTCATAACTGACTCTAAGAGTCTGAGTACTTTTTAACAGCCAGGCGCTTAAATTTAGCAGTATCTCAATTTATGTTTCTGGGACAAGCGTTCATTGTCACTTATCTTAAAGCCCTGTTTCAACAGTGTCTGTAATTGTCTTATCTTGCATTCCCAGTCCTTGAAGAAACTCAACCATGCCAATGTGGTGAAACTGAAAGAAGTTATCAGAGAAAATGATAATCTGTACTTTGTGTTTGAATACATGAAGGAGAACCTTTATCAGTTAATGAAAGAAAGGTATGTTGATTCCCCCCCCCCACCACCATCCAGTATAACTAACCAAAACCATGAACTACTATTCACCAAGCACTAGAACTATGCAACTGTAATTCATGGTAGCGAAATCTCATCAAGTACATTATAAGCATGATATTTAGGTTTTTGAACTGAGATTGCTCAGCTCCCACTCTCTTGTCTTGGAGGTCCTTGACTGGCAACTGCTGATGAGTAGGCCATGATCCAGTGACAATGTCCGGAAGGACCAAGGATGGGGACAGGAAACGCTGCCTGAATAATCCTGGCACCACATGAATAGCATGTAATTTTGTTCTGGTACTCCTAGACTTGAGTGGTTTTATTGTGAGAATCTTTTATAAGCTGCTTCGAAGAGCCTCTTGGTGCTGTGAAGTAGAATTTTGAGCAGAGCAATCCGAAAGGGGGGAGGAACACGAGTACAAATCCAAGGCAGACAAGGTGCCAGATCTGATTAAGGCTGAAGGCAATGATGGGTCACTTTTCCTTTTCCGGTTCCCCATCAGCATTGCAATTTACGACAGCAACAAAAATCCCTTCCCATTGCTATCAATAGGAGAGAGAATAAATATGCTAGTTCCAGGTATGGTGTACTTTTCTCCTGTGTTAGAGGAATGGAAGGCCATTAGATCCAGTGGAGCCCACCCATATCCACTCCTGGCATGCTCTTTTTTGCCTTCTCTGCCATTGCAGCAGTGGTGCTGGAGGAAGAACCACAGATCTTTCCATGGGTGCAATGAGGATGCCTCCTTCTTGGGCAGAACACCTCTGCCTGCAGATCTCCTGCTCTGTGCGCTATCCTGTGGCACCCAGAACGTCCTCCTCCAATAAGGGATATATAAAAGCATGCTTATTACTGCTTGTATAACTGTATCCATTCTATCCTTCGACTGTATCTCCAATAAATAAAGAAGTACAGCTAAGAAATCCCCTGTGTGAACATAAATCCCCCTCCTCTACTTTTACCTTACAGGAACAAATTATTTCCCGAATCTACTGTCAGGAATATTATGTATCAGATTCTTCAAGGGCTTGCATTCATACATAAACACGGTAAGACCTGACTAAAGGCCAAATTGGATGAGTATCTGTGACTGTATTGATGGCATGGTAGGAAGTGATATTAACAAATACTTAAGAAATATTTGAGCAGGCACTAAAGGTTTTTTGTTTGCGTTCAGGAAGGTAAACATGACCAGTCGAGAGTGGTATGAGTGAGGCTTGAAAACACACTCTTCTCCAGTGTGTTCCAAAAAGGCTAATGTTCATTAAACAAGATATATTTATTGTAGAATTATACCATTTACTGCAATTCCTAATTAAGGCCGCAGCTGGAGACACCCTTACTGTTGGGGTGTAGCCCCCACTGAAGTCAACAGGACTTGCCTTTGGGTAAACATGCAACAAGACTGAACTGCACAAAATGTATCTGTAAAGCCTGGTTATTTGAATGAACACTTCTATTGTTAAACTGACCTCCTACCCCTGTTAGAGGATTATGGGTTGATCATGGGAAGTCATCCCAGGCACGAGCTGCAGGGTTCAAGAAAAGCTACCAAGACTGTTTTGCTGCAAAAGAAGACCGAAAGTTGTGTGGCCAGATGCCGTCTCTGAAGCCAATGCAGACCACAGTAGTTCTGTGCAATTCTGGCAATAATAATGCTGACCTTGTATTGCATCGTGTTGTTAGGTTGCTTTGAGACCTTTGTTTGTATAGTGATAAATGCAATAAATAATAGTACTGTTAGTAATAATACAGTTCCATAGTTTACTGATATATTTGAAATGTCTCGAACATTTGCACAATAGTAATGCTAAGTGTGATTATTGTTGTTTTCTTCATGTTTAGTGAGTGTGAGAGAGAAATTATTACCTTTCACACTTTTTTTTTTTAAGAAAGAGAAGATATTTTACCTGGTCAGATCTTCACCTCAAAATATAAAGCAGTATTAGAGGAGAACATTTTGTGGTTCAAAATAGCTCAATTTACTCTCTTGGCACCTTCTCTTAATAATAATGGCAGCAATGAAAGGAGATGGGGTCAGATATTATGTAACCGGAGTGAGGGCTTGTTATTTCCTGAATAAACTCATTCCTTGTAACTTCCAAAGCACTGCAGTTTCTGAAACATGAAACAGTTTCATAAAGTGAAAACGAAGTGGATGATTTGATAGAACAGCTTTGTATAATTAATTGCTGCTGTGTTAACTAGATTGTAAAGCAATTCAAGTGTGCCTTGATAGCTCTTTTTGGACTGTGCCACTTGGTTTCACCCTTTCCTGTGGCATGGAAGAGTTTTTAATGCTTTATTAATGAATTTCTAGCAGGAGGCCTTTTGAGCAGGGACCTGACCCCAGATTCTGTTTGCTGTGCCAGAAATCCGCCCTGGAAGATTAAGTAATAATAAAATAAAGAACCTCATAGCATATGCAGAGTACACTGAGTCACCTTTGCCAGCTGCCACATTTTGGGGTTAGGAAACAGACCATCCAAACACACCTGAGCGGTAGCACCCCTCTCTCAAAATTAACCACTGATTATTAGGATTTCCAGATCTTTATTTTCCCCACCCCGGCTCCAACATTCTATGCCTTTAACTGCTTTTGCTCTGTGTACATGAGCAAATTATAGCATTTGAGTGATTCCCCAACTATAAGTCAGAGTGGACCCACTGAAATCAATTAATTTAAGTCTCTCAATTTCAATGAGCTTGCTCTGTGTATGACTAACATTGACTATCACCCTTTATCGCCATGCCATAAAAAGCTTCCATCTACTGCTTGCAGCAGTTTTCTTCCACTGTTTGAAGAGGAGTGGGAAAGCCAGATATTTTTTTCTGGTCAGTCGACAAGCCTGCTGGTAACTAACCACACAAACATGCACAATGAAATGAAAATGTGGGCGGCAGAACAGACTGACTAATGTTTGTTTTCACAACTACAGGGTTTTTCCATAGGGACTTGAAACCTGAAAACCTCCTTTGCATGGGACCGGAACTTGTGAAGATAGCAGACTTTGGCCTTGCACGGGAAATCAGATCCAGACCTCCCTACACGGATTACGTATCCACAAGATGGTAAACACTTGAGCTTATATGCCTTAAACTGTGTTCACGTTACTCATGCTCAGAGTAGATCAAATGAAATTAATGAACATTACTCATTTAGGTCCATTAATGTCAGTGGGTCTACACTGAGTAGGCTATGGCTGTGTATGTGGAGTTAAAGATTACTTCTATTCCCACTATGATTGTGATTTTGGGAATAATTAAGAGCCGTCTGACGCTAACAACTTTTCAGTGCCAGGTTAAGACTTTCCTCTTTAGCCAGGCATTCAATGGAATTTGAGTTCAATGCTTTATGTTACTGCCAATTTGGATTACTGATAAATTCACCCACACTCCTGGAAGCTGGTATTTCAAGTTTTAAGTTACTGGTTTTATTGCTCACATTTTGATGGCGGTGGTTTCTAACAATTTTGGATGCTTTAAAACTTGATTGTAAGTTTTCATGTTGGTGACACATTTTTTAGACGTGCATCAATTCTCAGCAGTAATTCAGTTATACTAGCAAGACAGAGGTTAAACTAACCCCTTTCCAGCCCTGGGAGGAGCATGGGTTAAGGTAAAAGGTAGGCAAAGGACCCCTGGACAGTTAAGTCTAGCTAAAGGCGACTATGGGATGTGGCGCTCATCTTACTTTTCAGGCTGAGGGAGCCGGCATTTGTCCATAGACAGCTTTTCAGGTCATGTGGCCAGCAGGACTAAACTGCTTCTGGCACAACTGAACACTGTGCTGGAAGCCAGAGTGCACAGAAACGCCGTTTACTTTCCCACCACAGCAATACCTATTTATCTACTTGCACTGGTATGTTTTTGAACTGCTAGGTTCGCAGGGGCTGGGACAGAGCAACGGGAGCTCAGCCCGTCGTGCGGATTCAAACTCCCAATCTTCCGATTGGCAAGCCCAAGAGGCTATGGGGTTTTAGACCACAGCACCACCCATATGTGACACACCTACACATTGCAGCCAGCACTCTAGTGTGTCACAACACACAGTTTGGAAAGCTCTGGCCTAGAGAATGTCCTACGTTAGGTGATTTACAAATAAAATAAATAACAATTGCTCAGCACCTTACCACTTTGATTATAGTTTAGAACTTCAAGGGTTAATTATCCCTGCAAGACAGAGGATATATTGGGGAAGATCTAAGCCCTAGACAGGACAAGCAACCCTTGAATAAAATTGCTTCAGCTTCTTACCTTGAGCGATGCTCAGGGAGGGAGGTTGGGTTGGGAAGCATTTTAGAGGCTCTTGTTTCCATGCTGGCAGAGAGAAAGGGACCTTTTGCAATTGCTGTCCAGTGCAAATGTACTAGTCTGGTGTAAGGTTCTTCCTGGCATATTTTGTAAATGAACCCCGCTGTGTTTCCCCCTCGCTTTTGGCTTTCAGGTACAGAGCTCCTGAAGTGCTTTTGAGATCCACTAACTATAGTTCTCCCATTGATATCTGGGCTGTTGGTTGTATCATGGCAGAGGTTTACACACTCCGGCCGCTCTTCCCAGGAGCTAGCGAAATTGATACTATTTTCAAGATTTGCCAAGTGCTGGGGACGCCAAAAAAGGTAACTGTGAGCCTGTCTTCAGTGCACATGAAGGAGTATAACTCTGAATATGTTCTGTTCTCCCCTCCCCGCTACTACTCGACTTCTTTTCTGCTATTGGCACTGGATAGCTGATTGCTAAGATGTCTCCAGTTTTATACAGTCTCCATAGAGAAAATTGCAACTTGTACTAAAAAGGAGACATTGTATGGGATGGTGGGGAGCAAAGGGAAGAAAAATGTGCTGCCTTGGAATTAATTCCAGTGGAATTCAGCATGCGTGAGAGGAAGATGTGACCGCTCAAACTTTAGGAGAGCATTCTGCATATGCTTGGAGTCCTTCTTTATTGTTGCATTGCTGTCCATAAGAATTCTATGCCAGGAACTGGCTGACATTATTACTGTGCCTTGGTGCTGCTAAAGAGAACACACATTGCTTAAATGGTGTACAAGCATATAGTGCATATTGATATGAGAAAGAAAGATACACTAACAGTACAACGAATACAGTAGAATAACAGAAACAAAATGCCTGACAACAGTCTACCTATTGAGTGGCCTGGCCAAAAAAAGGGTGGTGATCAACTAACCTAGGACTGGCTTACTCTACTCTGTCATTGCCTTCACTTCACCCTTCAGCTTTCTAGTCATGAGTTAGGGCTCCCCGGTCTTCTCATGTGCTTTTGATTCTCTGGGATCACTTCAGCCTCTTACCTGCCCCTTGAAATGTGTGAGCTGATCCGCTTGCTTCAATTATCCCAGAATCAGTTCATTAGTCAGCCAGACCTTTATGCAATGTTGGAAATGTTGCTTATGGGGGCATGAGGGTGGCATCTTGGGCAAGGCTGCACCAGCTACACGGGTATTCATTTCCTGACCAGGCATGCTTCCGTCCTTTTCAGAATGACTGGCCCGAAGGCTACCAGCTTGCCGGCACCATGAATTTCCGCTGGCCTCAGTGCGTCCCAAACAACCTGAAGACCCTCATCCCTAACGCAAGCAGCGAGTCAATACAGCTCATGAGAGACATGTTGCAGTGGGACCCCAAAAAGCGGCCAACGGCAAGCCAGGTTTGCTCTTCTTTCATGGATATGTCTTTACAACTCTCTGCCTTGCTGACAGCTCACTCTCTCAGAGGAACAGAGGAACTTTCAAAGGTTACAAGGAGGAGTGGGTTCAAAACATGTGTTGCAGGCTGTTGGTTCTGACCACTATTTCCCACCTCCAGTTCCAACTCAGTGGAATATTTTTCTGATTCAGTGAAGTCTCAAGTCTCTTCACCCACTGCTGACACAGCTCTGCTTTTCTCTATTTCTTATTGCAGTTTCTAACTCTATACCTCGCTTTGTTTCTTCTATGCATTCCCATCCTTGCTATTCAGAAAAGGAGCACATAGAATTGGATTTGTGTTCACATCAGCACCTCTTAAAAACTGCAACAGGGAGGACAGCTTTATCTATCCTTTATTCATTTTCAGTGGAAATAAAGCAGTGAGAACAAAACTCACACTTTGAGAATAAAGGCTGTCTGGCCCTAATTGATTAACTTTCACTACTGATTGGTTTAATCAAAGGACCCTAATCAAGTGAAATAAGTTGTCTGTTATGTTTATGATTTCTTACCTGCCCTTCACCATAAGGTCCCAGGGCAGGTTACAGCAATTTAAAAAACTTTATTAAAAATAAATTGCAGTCACTGGAATAGCGTGTATCCTGAAAATATATATCTCAGGTGTCAAATGCCATGGTAAAGAGGTAGTCCAACAGATGAGTAATGCCAGAGAGAAGTCTCTGGGCATACAGCCTGTGTGGGGAGGGTTGTGCACAACACCATAAAAAATTTAAAAAATTAAAATTTTGCACCCAGACATTCCAGATTTTGCCTATGATTTGTAAATTGTGCAGATAAAACACATTATGCAAACTGCAAAATTGTTTGTGGCATGGATGAGTTGCTTTTCATTTTTGCATAATTATGGTTTTGACGTGGAGGGGGATAAGGAGGGTTACAAAACATGGAAGACCCACCCGTTTGCCTTCTAAGATTTCAACAGGCATATATTTGTAGCACTAAGAAACCTACTTTTTTAAAAAACGAAAGCAGCAACTACTAGAAAGTTGAATTTGGCATGTGCTATCATATTTTGGGTCTTCCCTGCCCTTGAGTGGTATTGTGGCATGCACAGAGCCCTAGATATTGGGACTGAGAAACTGCCTGTTTCTGCTTGCTTGACTCCCCTGGTTTAAATTTTTTCTCTCTTGACTTTTAGGCTCTTCGATATCCTTACTTCCAGGTTGGCCAGTTACTGGGCACCTCTCGCTCTACTCAGGAGCTGGGAAAGCAACAGAGAGACCTTCCTGATAAAGCACAAGTCCACATGAAACCCATTCCACCAGCACAGCCTCCTCCTAAAGCACAAGTTCGCCTTTCCTTCAGACCATTCCAGCAGAACCAGCCCTCCCACTCCCTGATATACCCCTACAAAACAGACACCACCGTGAGTGACCATTTAAGAGAAGACAAGCCTAGCCAGGTGGCTTTGCCAGAAATTCACAATAAGATTCCTCAGCAGGTAAGACACAGTCTTGGATGAGATGTCTGCCTTTCTAAAATGTGGACATTATCTCACTCTTGTATTTTAAATAGGATTGGCTGTGTGATTTTAAGTGCAAATGCAAAAACAGATTTCTACTTTTCTTTTTTGTTTCTGGATGCTAGGAGCTTGTTCGTGCTGAGCTGATCTTTCCACAGTTGCTCTCAACACAGAGGCTACATAATGTTGCACGAATGCCGCAGCCTCTCCCATCTATTCTGCGTTAGTCTTGGGAACTCTTGACTTGGTCTCCAGTGAATTGGAAATCAATAGTTCCTTAGTGCAGAGCAGGCAGGCGGGGCAGACCTTGGCTCCACTGATACATGGGGAATGTTTATTGAAATATGCCTGTTAGGAAGGATCCAAACTTCTACTCATTTGAACATCTGGCTACTGATGGTTATACATGATCTTCTTGGGGAGGAAGTATGGCACAACCATTAAGTGAAATTGGAGGTCTCCCCATTTGGATGACGCGTGCAGACCCAACTTCTCAAGATACATGCTACACCTTGCTCTGAGCAGGCAGTTACTTCTCTCCTGCCCATAGTGAGGCAGTAAGCCATGGGCTTCCATGGCTTGCAATTGGCTGCAGGAAATCAGAAGCCACGCTTTGATTTCTGAATGTTTTGGAAGTTGAACAGACTTCCAGAACAGATTCCGTTCAACTTCCAAGGTACGACTGTAATGGGGATTTATTTATTTGGCAGAAACCGTAGAAGAGAAAATGAAAGTGAGTTGTGGCCAGTGAGACCAGATTTTGGCAGTAAAATCACAGCCCTGTTGCCAAAGGCCCATTCTCTGCCCACTGGAAGCACTTCCAATATTTATTTTGCTCATACCGCAGTTCTGATCTTCACATGCTTTTCTGTTTTCTTATTTTCCTCCCGCAATGTCAGAAAGCAGACATTGGGACAGAGAAGACAAATGGGGAACTTAAACCAAAGAACCGTCGTAGATGGGGTCACATTCCCGGGACACTAAAAGACTCTGAGGATTGGGAAGACCTGGAAGATGGAGGTGTTAACTCTTCACTTGCCAGAAAGGAGCTTAAAAACAAAGGGCAGAGTGATGAAGCTCTTTGTAGGCAAGTTACTGGCCTTATTTTTCTTTATTTTTCCATAAGAAGTATAGAAAAAGTATTTCTATACTACTGTATCATACATACTGCTGTATCCTGCAGTATAAACATGGCTGGTTGATTTTGGTTTCAGATTTGAAAGTATCCTGGATCTCAAGCCGTCAGCTTGCTTAGGAACTGGGAACAGCGCCCCTTCCTATCTTCGGCAGGACACACCAACGTTGCAAGTTTCTGCAGCCAAACAACATTACTTGAAACATTCTAGGTATTTACCTGGTTAGTAAAAATAAATATTTACTATGACGCTTCGTAAAATATGATAACTCACTTTTGACGTGAGTGAGTAACCTCTAGTCCCAGACGTCCTACTGCTTATTAGCTGCAATCATAACCACACTTACAGGGACTTCAGTGGGATTTACATCCCAGTAGATATGTTTTGTTTTCATTAAGCCATTTCCCTTAAATTTGCTACAAAATGCATTTTTGCAAACTTTATATTTAGCAACAAAAAATGTTTAGGAAACTATTTTATTACTGACTGTTGATTAGGTGTTGATCAAACTGTCTCGAGTTTATGATTGGTTGTAAAATAATGTTACATTTGTATACCATCCTTCCTGTAAGTTGCTCAGAGCACGTTTTATTTGTGTTTTAGCTTCAAACAGTCCTGTGAAGTAAGCTGAACTGTGGCTTAGTGAATTGCTCAAGGCCATATACTGAGTTTCATTGCCTGGCATAGGTTTGTCCCCGAGTTTCCCAATATCCAAACCCATCATGTATTGCAGCTGGTTCTTTTCTGGTCTCTCACTAGAACATGCTCAGCTTACATTCTACGTGGACAGCAACCACAATCTAATGCCCTTCACATTTAGGCATGTTTAACCTAATTGTGTGGAATATCTATGAAATTAACATACAAAAGCAAGGTATAATACAACCCCAAAGCGCTTGTCATCAATGGGCAACTGACGAGCGAGATATGTATATAAATAAATGTATTCCTGCTGCATTTTTACAGCGTCTTACTTCTTATTCTAGGAATAAGCACAAGAAATAATTTAGTCTCCAGTTCAAGCAAAGATTCCATCCCGTCCAATCCATGGCCCAGTTCTAATTTACCTGGAAAGACATCAGTGGTGGCAGGAGGGATCACCAGGCTGAACTCCAGTAAGGAAAAGAAAAATTGTCTTCTTCTTTTTTAGTTCTACCTACTTTGACGTGTTTGCTGACTGCACTTTGTGATAGTAATCCAGTGTTTGATGTATTGACATTCTTGGCTGCTGGGTATTTACTGCATAAGACAGACAAAACAGGGTAAAGTGGCTATGATCCTAAGTTTATTCACAGCTTTGATCGATGCACATTTACTTGGAAGTAAGTCCCGCTGAGTTGAGTGGCATTTCTTCCCTAATACTTCTGCATAGATTAAAGTAAATTCCTGCTGGTTTTACACTGAAGATCATGACATCATATACATAAAATATCAGATTTTTTCCCCAAAGATAAAAGTCTCTGAAGGATCGATTCAGACACTCAGGGCTCATCGACACTTCCCACTGCTTTCCCCTGCTCTTTAGTGCTCAGTGAGAGCAAATGGCAATCCAGGTTTTCTCTGGATTGACATTTGCTCCGATTTACCACTAAGCAGTAGGTTTTCCCTGGAGCGGGGCAAGATGGAAACTGCTGGGACCTGTGCCTAGAAAGTGTGGGTCAAGCAGAAAGCAGCTTGGACTCTATGCACAAGACAAGTGGAAGTGTGGCGCAGTGCTGGTGCAGTTTCAACTCTTTCTGGTGACAGTACCATCTTATCACAGAAAAGGAAGCTATCACATGGGGTGGGACTTTAAGACAATAACTGGATTAAGCATTGGCTGGATCATTGACTGTGTTATATATATTTAAGGAAAATAACTGGATTAAATTTTTAAAGGAAAAAATAAAGGTTGTTTGTGGTTCATTGTGAAATTTTGTACTGGTCTACTGCATTGACCTCTGCATTATGTCCTCTGCTCTCCGATTTTCTTTCAGGCAACACAGGAGCGAGTGGGCTAAGGGGTGCTTACATCCCTTCATTTCTGAAGAAAGAAGTTGGCTCTGCTGGCCAGAGGGTTCAGTTAGCGCCGATTATTGATGCATCGTCTTCAGACCCATCTCGTAAGCTCTTTCTGTTTCTGAAAATGGTGCTGGGGAGCACAGCAAAAATGCCACTGCACTGCAAAATGAGGGCGCTTCATCTGTGACTATCTGCAGTCCGCACCTGCCTGGGCTTCAGCCTTTATCTTGTTCGTATGACCATGGCTGCATGCACACCCGACATTGAAATGTGCATACAAAGCCCAAGAGCAGCAATTGTTGAACCAGCTTTCCCACTGTGGATTGAAGAGTAACGCCAGAAAGATAGGCATGCTTTCTGGGATGCTTCCCATGTTTTTTTTTTTCCAGTACCCAGGCAGATACATGGAGTTGTACTCACACACTGGGACTTCCCCTTCCTCTTCTCTTCCTGCTCCCCCCCCCCCCCGCAAAAAAAAAATCTGCTCCAGAAAGTCCTCCAACACTCTGGAGCCAATTTTGAGAATATACAGGAAGCTGCAGAAGAGATCAGATGAAGGGGAAGTTCCATGGCAACTGAGGGACAGGGCCTGTAGTTGCTAATATTGCAAATCTAATCTTTTTTCAGTAGTTGAAATGGCTGATACAAAAGAGCCACTGTTTGTCTGAATACCAGCAGACTGAATTTTCTCTAGGACTACAGACCCTGTTTGTTCTGCAGTTGTATACCTATCACACAAGAATTCAGTGTCCTAAGGATTTTGGCTTTATTATTATTATTATTTCCCCAGGCAAGCATATTTCTAGACCTTGTGATGGCAACAATGTTGGACTATAACTGCCATCATCCCTGATAATTGACGATGCTGGTTAGGGCAGATGGGAGCTGAAGTCCAATAAAATCTAGAGGGCACCATGTTGGCTACCTCTAGCACAGACAGTACTTGGTTAAACTTTAGGATTCAACAATGTAATCAGGGAATTGAGAGCATCTCAAAGCTCTGTGTTCCTACCCACAACTAGTGGTAGCAGAAAATAAGCCACTTCAGTAAAAAAACACACCAAAATATACTCCTTTCTTTGGCCCTTGACAGAACCTAGAGCAGTAGCTCAAAAACACCGTAACTTATTATTCCAGTGAGGCAACTCTTTGTCTTGTTTTATTTTTCATATGTGAAGTGAGAGGGCAGGTCTTACCGTATCTTAGTTGATTTCTTCAGAAGCATTCAACCAAGATAGTTTAAAAGCATATGCATAGAAAGTTGTGGATTGGATTCTGCGTGCTAAAGTATATTATTTTTTTAAAAAAGAATAGTTCTGCTTATCAAATTGGTGTACGGTGGTACCTTGGTTTAAGAACAGCTTAGTTTATGAACAACTTGGATTAAGATCGCTGCAAACCCAGAAGTAGGTGTTTTGGTTTGTGAACTTTGCCTTGGAAGCAGAACATGTTTCGCTTCCTGTTGAGTGTGTTCCATTTGTAAGTTGAGTCCCCCGCTGCTGTGGGAAAGCACGCATTGGTTTAAGAATGCTTTGGTTTTAGAAAAGACTTCCGGAATGGATTAAGTTTGTAAACCAAGGTACCACTGTATTCATTCAGATTCAGAATTGGTGACAATGGTTTGGATCCAGAAAAGCTTTCCGTTAATGGAAGGGTCAAGTGGAGCCTTCTGCAATCACAATTTTTTTCTGATTCCTCGTATCCCTCACACTACTCTGGACAGCCTCCTAACTTCTCAGAGCAAGGGAGCACAGGAGCTCTGAATCACCCCTCTGATTTGAAATTCTCTTAGGATCCTTTGGTCAAAGTCACCAGATTCTGTATCTGAATTTAACCCCTGATCCATTCTCTCCTTTCACACTTCCTCTCTTTTTCCTTTGTAGAATACACTTCTCTGAAGTCTGTCAGACCTCATATAGGGAGGCCGTCATTTAACATACCTATGAAAAGCACACCAGGGCTGCTGCCCCACCCACCTCCAGTTCAACCAGTCCATGGACGAATTGACTGGTCTTCAAAATATGGCGCTCACCATTGAACTCTTGAGCTGCAGTATACGTTTCACGAACAGTGACCAATGATAAGACTGTCTCCAGCAATATTTTATACGCTGGCAATTCTGTCGATCGTTTTTTTGTATGACCAAGAAATTTCAAGACCGTCGAAGAGGGTTTATTTTTAGTTGTATGTATTTGAAAGCAAATCTTGGACCTTTTTTCTATCATTTATATTATGTGATTGGGGCAATTATTTTCATAGAACCAATACACATTTGTATATCAGGTTTAGTATTGTGGGTCCCTTGCTTTATTTGGCATTTTTATATGATGAACTTGTAACTTTTTTAAAGAAAACTATTTTTTCTTTTTTTGGCCTTTTTTATATAAGTGAATAAATGTAGCAGATTGAAGCAGTATTTAATATAAATAAGGTGCAGGTAGACATAAGGGCATTTACCAAATACTTTATAAAGTTAAATTTTCAACCTGGTATGTTGGAAAAATAACCTGTTAAGCTTAGTATCCAGAGCCGCCTTTCAGCTTCATAATTCAGCAGCCACAGTCGTGTTACTGGTCTCGTCTTTGCTGTAGCAAAACATAAAAACAAGTGGGGCATGAACTCCTTGTTCTTCATGTGACTGAGAATTGTTACAGCTAGTTGATCAGCAAGATAGAATAGTAAAGCTTTTCCTTCAGGCTGCAGATAAGAGTTTTGTATGTTCTGAACAAACCTGAAAAACCAAATCCTTGCATATAAAACATAAATTTGGCAGGGGAAAAGATCCAGCCTATTTTTTCAGTGTTCATGCTGGCTTATTTGTTCCCTACATACAGCTCATATTGGTTTGGTCCAGGATAAGCTTCTCACTGCTGACTATGTAAACTGGAAAAGGGAAAGACGTGTGACAGCAGGAAATTAACTTGACCACATGCTTCTTCATTCTAGCCTCTTTCCACAATGCAAACTAAACCATCTACAGATGGAGTCATCCTACAGTGGGAAGCAATATGGGTTGCAAGAGTAGCAAGGCCCTTGGATAATATTTAAAGCAATATTAAATATGACAAAGCTGGTTCGTAGAGTAATATAAATGGAGTATTAAGATAAATACCAGCAGCAAAGTTAAAATATTTTTTTTTATATTCCACACAGCCTACATTTCATTTTTATGGCTTGCCTTTTTGCAAACGCAGCTCGGCAACTTCTGTTACAGGGTTGACAAAATTTATCCTTTATATAATTCGAGGTTTACATTAAGAAATGAGTTGACATGCATATTTATATACTGTAATTTTAGGATCGAGTTCCAGCTGTTCTAGAATGGCCAGATTTTAGCAGATGTCAGTAAGCCAGAATTTTAAAGATTGAAGCTATATAGCAGAACATGGTATAGAAAATGGCAGATTCAAACCTATGCATTGTTTTAAAATGAAAACAAAGAGTTGAAAAAGTTTTAAGGAGACTGCCCTGCCTGGCAAGTGTTCAGCTGAAATGATACATCATTTTTTAAATTGAGGTGGAAGGAATGGGGATTAAGATCTCAGCTCACAGAAAAGGCTCAAGACAGTCTCTTTCTCAGGGAGAAATAATTACCCCAAGCCAGTAGATGGGTGTTTCTGTCTAGGCAGTTTTTGAGTATAGAATGAGATGTAGATCTTTTCTAAATCTTTGTTTCCAATCTGTGGTAGGAATCACGCTGTGTCTTGAGCCACATTCTGCCATTGCATCTTCTCTGTCATCCTTGAGGGCAGGAGATGCAAGAAGGCATGCTAAAATTGTGTGTCAACACCTTCCCATTCCGATGATCGGCTGACAAGGCTGCATTGGAAGTTGTCCTTTCAGCCTCCAACTGAAGCAGAAGGAAAGTCCCATTTCCTTTTGCATTGTGGTGTCTGGCCACTCCTTCACTAAAATACAAACAATTCTGCTTCAAGCATTTCCACACAGCAAAAGAGGTGTGCAGATAACAGAACTGCAGAGGGAATTTGAAAGCAGAGCTGTGGATGATTCTCTCACAGAAAACACAGGGTGGAGTTGGCAATCACAACAGCTAGGATGGCAACAAAGGTGTTGTCAATTTTTTTTTAAAGCGTAACAGCTGCATTGTTCTTTAATGCATGGATGTGAGACCTCCAGCCCTTCAGATGTGGCTGGACTCCAGTTCCCATAAGCCCCTGCCAGCATGGCCAGTGGTCAGTGATGGTGTAACATACATTCTCCAGGTTGCCTACCTCTGCTCTAACCTGTCACAGGCAACATCCCAACTCCATAACTTTTGGGAAATCAGCATTTTTTTTCTCCAGAAGGTAATAGGATATGAACTCATCACTTGTCTTCAGCTGAACAGTTGCTATCTCCCTACCCCAAAATAACACCATTTGGGGGTTATCCCACCAGCTGTTTCATTTCCCCTATTTCCTTTGTTATTGAGGGAAAGTTCGTACATAGTTTTGGTTTCTGCAACCATGGAACCACAAGACTAGCAGTCCTTTCATTGCAGTCCTCAGTGACTGCTATATGAGACAGATGAATTAGAAAGGAGATAAATTTGACCCATTTTTAATTCTGCAGTGACAACGTAATTTTCAAAATTCTTTCATCAATGAGATAACTATCACCTGTTAAATCAATTTACTACTGACATGTTATTTGTAAATCCTCTGTTGTGGTATTTGTATATTCTTTGGTTCCTGCTTCAGGGAGTAGGACAAACAGAAACATACTTTTGCTTTTATACTGTTTAGAAAAATATGTGGGGGGTCCCCTCCAATGGAAAGCAAAATTGCCAGTATTTAATGGAGGATTATTTCATTCAGAACTTTTTTTAAGGAGGACACTAGAGTTACTAATTATTAAACGGTTTAGCTTATATTTAATTTTGCTAATATGTTTTCCTTATTAAGCTGCAATTCTCACCACAGTTACTATGGAACGAACCCCACCGGCATTTACTTTTGAATAACTGCTTAGGCTGTAATCCTGTTGGCTCCCTTACCTGAAAGTCCTTTTCAGTTCAGTACATGTATAGGATGTTCAGGCATGTAAAGGATTGCAATGTAAGAATCATAATAATAGCCCAGAAATGAGTGCCGCAACCCCAGAGTCGTCCGTGGCGACCTAACCTTTACTATTGTCTGATTGCTTAACTCTGCAGTCCTGTACAAAATTACCTGGCAGTAAGGACCACTGAATTCAGTGGATCTTACTTCTGAGTGAGCACATGTAACATTGTACTGCAAGTTTAACAGATAAGTCTGGAGCAGTTTACAGTGACACAACTGTCACTGAATTCATATGGAGCACCTCTGCTTGAAGTACCTTTTCATGAATTATTATGCTTATAATTTGAATTGACAACATAATTCCCTAGAGAGCAGTAAAATGGCCTTATTTCCACTTCTCCTTGGTTTGTGTCACAAAAAATGATAAAAACCACAAGCCGTATCTTACTCCGAGATCTGACCAAAAGCAACATCTCTGCCAAATATGCCACATGTGAAATGTTTTCCCTTAGCAATGTTTGTGATGCCTCTTCATTTGTCTTGCATGCTGTAGAGTAGCTGGTGGGTGAGAAGAGCGTGAAAGACACTTTATTCTAAAGTAAGATACACTCACCTCTTTCATTTCTGTACTACTGGTTTGTTTTAAATCTTCTGCACTTAAATGAATGGGCACCTCAGCTACCTTAAATTCATTTTTCTTCAAGTGATTAAGGCTGCAATCCTAAACCTGCTTGAAGAGTAAACATACAGTTTCCTACATTCAACAGCACTACACTGGCTTATAAAGTTGTTGAGGTTTATAAAAACCGGTTATTGGTTTATATTTGTGATGATTAGTCAATAATGTATCAGTGTTGAATAGCTCCACTCTACTCACACGGTGACTCTAGCACAGTTTGTGGATCACTACAGCCAAGAAACGCTTTAGTAAAAACACGAAACATTGTGTGTCCTGTAGCCAAGAAAAAATATGTATGGAGAATAAGTACAAAGTTAAATGTGAGTCAACGGGTATAATTGGGTATTGAAAACCTAACATGTTTTCTACTTGGGGGTCTTTTGTGGGGTTTTTTAAACAAATGCTTGTTTCCTTTTGTGTCACGAGAGGCTCCTTCCCGAAATAAAGTGTTTCAAAAAATCATGTTTTTGAGTAGTGTTAAATAATCCCTGCATTCACTGAAATTTGGTTGTGTCCAGTGCTTTTACCAGCTGAATGTAGCACCTCTCAGGTGGGTGCCATGGTCATTCTAAGGGAATGAAGGAAGTGTTCATGGTGAGTTCTGGCACCTCTTTTTCTAGAAAAATACCACTAGTTAGGCCCTCTAGTGTTCAGTGCCTTTCCTCTTCTACCTTTACACATTCTGAAACTAGTAAAAGACACAAGTATTTAGCTAATGTTCAACTCTTAATGTCACCATTGAGACTATTAAATAAATAAATAATAATTAATCAGGATAGCACTCAAGGGCCAGTTCACCTCTCACCAGCTTGTAGCACAGTCATGTTCTACATTCAGCACGCAGCTGACATTGAATAATAATAATAATAATAATAATAATAATAATAATAATAATAATATATTTATACTCTGCCTATTTGGCTGGGTTTCCCCAGCCACTCTGAGCAGCTCCCAACAGAATATTAAAAACACGATAAAATATCAAACATAAAAAAACTTCCCTAAACAGGGCTGCCTTCAGCTGTCTTATATAAGTCAGTTGTTTATTTCCTTGACATTTGATGGGAGGGCATTCAACAGGGTGGGCAACACTGTCGAGAAGGCCCTCTGCCTGGTTCCCTGTAACTTCGCTGCTTGCAGTGAGGGAACCGCCAGAAGGCCCTCAGAGGAGGACCTCAGTGTCCGGGCAGAACGATGGGGGTGGAGATGCCCCTTCAGTATAAGCTCTCCTCAAGCAATTGGGATGAATCCTCAGTAAGTAGGCTGTTGGGAACAGATCTGTGAAAAAACTCATCCCAGCGACTTCGGCTGAGAAGAATAAAGTCCCTAGTCCCACCCATAGTTGTCAACTTTCAGATTTGAAAATAAGGGATCAGCAGCCTCACCTGTCCCGGGGACAGTCTACGGGATATCTAACAATCCGGGATAGCAGCGGGAAGCAGCGGGAAACGGCGCTGGAATAAGGGAATTTCACGCAAAAAAGGGGAAGGTTGACAGCTATGGTCCCACCCCTAAGACTTCTGTGGTCTCTCATTCCTCATTCAGAGATTGGCCGCTTGTCATGGGTGCTTTAGTTGAGATCCCCTGCATTTCCAGGGTGTGTGTGTGTGGCTGGGGTTGCACTAGACAACCCTGTTATAGATAACTCTATTGACACATTTATTTGGAAAACTACAGGTAGATCTATGCACATTTATGCTGTGTTGTGTTTAGGATTTGCAACATCATAAAATGCTTGTTTCTCCTCCCACACATACAAGAACATAACAGTTGAATATAATATGCTGCATACATTTTTAAAAATGCATTGTGATGTGAAAAGAATGGCAAACTGCCACATGCAGCGCCTTACTTGGATGTGTCTGGAGTCTTGGAAGCTTGACTACCCTACGTTCTCCTACAAATGGACCTTGAGCTTGTTTGGAGGTTCTAGCAGGGGAGCGCAGCTATCGTATACCCTTGACCGAAGAACGGTACACTCCTTCTATCTGGGATGGTCGTCCTCTTCCACCGAGCGCGCAGCTTCGGGAGGGACGCACATGGAGCGGTGAGGGAGGAAGGGGACACCCGCCTAGCCAGCCAGATCAGCCGAATCAACCCTGGCGATCAATGGGGTGACAGATGTCGCAGCCAGATCGCCCTCACATCCAGAAAAGAAGGAGACCTAATGTCTATATATACCTCTCGGGAGACTGTTGCTCTCAAGTCATAGTGACTCTGATCAGCTTGTCTCGCTGCGCAAAGGTAAAATTATTCCTCGAACGCTGAAAGAGAACATTAAAGAGCGTTCTGCAAAATCGGGTTGGTTTTATTTATTATTCCGATTATTTTGGCCCTCGACCTCCTTCCCAGGTTGCACTGAGCGACATGCAAATTAAATATCTTGCTACTGGCTGGGCCCTCTCGTCTTGCCCACGCCCCCTTGCCTGCCGTGCACAAAACGGCGAGGGAGGCGTTGCCTGCTCCTGGACTGCGAGCGCCTTCAGCATTTGCAGCTACCGCCGAAGGTAGGGTTCCTTGTTCGCAGTTGCAGCAGCCATGCACGTGTGCAGGAGTGCATCGTGTGAAGAGCTGCAAGGGGGGTTGGCACGGGACAAGAGGCGCAAAAAAGTTGCCCGGCGATGATGATCGTGATGGAGAGTGGTTAGCAGCAGTAGCTCCTGTTGCACCTGTTGCACCCATCCATCGGGTTGCCTTTGAAAGGCACCGTGAACGGAGGAAAGGGAGCTAAGCTGCAGTTTGCCCCAGCGCTGCTTTGGCTTTGCGCATTTGCTTTGCTACGTTGCGGATTTGGAACGTGGAGAGCCATTCTGGGGCTGGGCGGGTCCGGGTGGGAACTGAGCGTTCGAAGTTCGAAGCCTTTGATGTGCCCAGATCAAAGCGCTCCGCTGGAAGTGGGCTGCTAACATGGGTTGGTTACGGAGACTTCGCGATCCAGCGCTTATACAGCGGGGGGGGGGGGGGCTGCCAGTGAATGCACTTTTATTTCCCTCCTGCTTTCATCTGCCCATGAGTGGGAGAGGCTCTGTAGAAAGTCCAGAGGGCTTCTCACCTGTATGGGGCGCCTGCGACGGGGGTAGCCAATGTGCCGCCCTCCAGGTGTCGCTGGACCACAAGGAAAGTTTTATTAAACTAAAAACCCATACAGTGGTACCTCGGGTTACAGACGCTTCAGGTTACAGACTCCGCTAACCCAGAAATAGTACCTCGGGTTAAGAACTTTGCTTCAGGATGAAATCGTGCAGCGGCAGCAGGAGGTCCTATTAGCTAAAGTGGTGCTTCAGGTTAAGAACGGTTAAGAACGGACCTCCGGAACGAATTAAGTACTTAACCCAAGGTACCACTGTATTTGTGTTAGATTTGTTAAATAAATAAATAAATAAATAAATAAATGTGCAGCCTGCTTTGAGGGGTGCATTCACAGTGCCCTGCAAACCAAGCACGGAGCGGGGATGGCAGGGCGCATGCCCGTTGCATCATTCTCAAGCTGCCCTCCAGCTAGAGGGCGTGTGAGAAGGGCGCAACAGGGCAGGGTGCAAAGTTGGGCTTGCAGGGTGCCCTGAGGAATGTGCCCCTCCAAAAAAAAACACTGCCCAGGGCAAGATCTGGGCACAAGATTACTGCGTTTGCAAGGGGTGAACTAGATGACCCTCGTGGTCCCTTCCAGTTCCACAATTTGATGATTCGATTATTGCTGTAGGGATGACACAGTTCCCTCTAGTTCAACAGATTTTCCCATCCTTCCATACTTCAATCAATAAGTTTCAGCATGTTAGCTCGCTTCCACCCATCTCCCGTCAGGGCTTCAACTGCATCCCAGGGTTTTCTACATGGTGGAAAGGAGCTGTGTTTCCTACAGATAACCCATCTGCTCTGGATAATATCTCCCATGGATGCTGAAAAGCATGGGAGACGAAATGGAGCTTTGAGGCACGCCAAGGGGTAGATCAGAAGTCCCCTGGAAGAGGAGAGAGCCCTTTTAGAAAAAACTAGAGTTGTTTGAGGACAAAGAAAAAGAGACAAATTATCTTTGATTTTATTATGTATGTAAAAAATGCTGCACACCATCTAACTCTTCCTCCAGCATTTGAATGGATCAAGTAGATTCAATGAATTGGAGTGCTAGCAGCATATCTTTCTCTTCTCTTTATCGCCCCTTCTTTCTTTTGCTAGATCCCCATATATAACATTCTATTGGTGCCCTGTCTTCTGTTTGCTGGCGGTTCTAGCATTCTGACATTTATCTCTTCCTTAACATTTCACTCGGGGTGTAAGTTGACTTGACTTTATTGTGTATTGTTTTGGATGTCCTTTGTATCTACTACAAAATTATTATTTTTTTAAATAGTCCCCCAGCACTATTTTTTAGAACTGCCCCCTCTTCTCAACAAAGGACTGGCACCTCCATAACACCAGCCCTCCAAGTCCCATCTCAGGGACACCCCATAATAATACCGTGATCAGTAGTATTGAAAGCCGCTGAGAAGTCCAGGAGAACGAAAAGGGAGAACTCTGCCTCCCAAATTGCACTTCCCAGCATCTGCTAGAATGACTTAACACCAAAAGAATTTGCTCCAATTAAAAAAATACCACTGCTTATCATTTTGTTTCTCCGTGTCCTTTCTGACAGCCATGATGCCATACTATTGATATTCAGGGAGCAGTAAATATTGCCAAATGTGGGGGCTTAGTTAACCTTCAAACACTTGCTTGTTTCTATTGTTGGCTTTTGAAACCATGTTTTTGTGTGTGTGAAAACCCACTTGAGATCTTTATATTTGAAGAACAATCTGTTCCAGGACCTTTGCTTTTATGCATCTACCAGGTGGGTGAGTTCAGTTTGTTCAGTCTGACCCTTCTATAAAAAAACCAGAATTTGAACTGAGAATGGGGAAATAAGAGTACAATCAAGTGGTACTGATTTTATGTCCCATATTTGTTGGCAAGGTGTCTAAGGTATGATGTCTAAGATATCTAGGAAAGGGTAATATTTTTTTCACTGGTGCTTTCTCCAAAACTGGTATAATATGAACTTTAGTACAGTGGATTTGTTTGATTTGTTTTGTTTCATCACTGGATACTTTGTTTAGCAATCATTTTCATTTCAGTGTTTCATTTCTCCCTCCTTGTCGCCCATTCCTCCAACCTTTCTGTGAAAGTTTCTCTCTCCAATTAACACTCATTCCCCCCCCCCCAATTCATCTGTGTCGCTGAACATTTATTCCTAAAAGTCAGATGAAAGTGGCAAGACTTCAGCTCCATGTCTGTGCACAAGTGCAAGGTTTTTCTACACAACAATGGTCAGTGTGGGAGAATCCTTATATGTAGCTTGGTGGGAGGGGGAAAAATTAACCCTTTGCCTGATCAGATGCCCCATGTCACATAGGAGACAAACCTTCAATCAAAGCAAATGTGAGGTTTTTTCCTTCACTATTCACATTTCTGGTGTGTGGCATTGGGAC